TGTTCCAAAGGAGAGAATTCATGCCTGATAAACTGTAAACTTGAGGGATCTACTACTGAAATCTTGCTAAATGAACGTGTCAAACTCTCTTCTAAAAATTTGTGTTTATGCACATAGATTAGTGCTGCCCTCAGCCACAAGTAGAGAAGATTCTCTCTGCAGTGGACAGCAGTTAATGCAGAGACTCATAATTGGTCAAAGTACTAAGAGTGAGTGATTATTGAATGGCCAGCCTTAAATAAGACATCTGTTTTAAAACACACACACACACACACACACACACACACACACACACACACACACACAAATGTATTATAAGGAGCAATGATCACTTTTGAACTTTCTTGCATATGTTAAATACCATTTATATAAATGGGTGTTTTGCCTGCATGTGTATCTGTGCATCACGTGCATGCAGTGCCCATAGAGGTTGGAAGAGGGCGTCAGATCCCCTGGGACTAGAGTTACAGTTTCAGGGAGCCATGGCAGGTGTTGGGAATCAAACCCAGGTTCTCTGGAAGAGAAGTGTGTGCATACACACGTGCCTTTGTGAGTTTATGTGCACCATATCTGTGAAGGAGGCCATAGAGGCCAAAAGAGGGGTATCATATCTGAACCCTGACCCTCTACAAAAGCCGAGAGTACACTTAACTGCTGAGCCATGTCTCCAGGCCCAACGTTCAATTTTTGAGTGAATGGGTGAGGAAATGTCTTTACTGGTACAGTATGGTACACAGCCTGAAAATGGCTTTACAGTAGTGTCCTAACTTAGGAATCTGAAGTGCCCTGGTGACCTACTGATTCATCCTCAATGTGCTGAATGCCACTGATTATCTCTCCTTGAAGATCAAAAACAGAGCTCTGCGTTTGAGGGAGGCAATGTAACCTCAGGCTAAGCGAGCAAACCCTGTAAGTCATGGAGACCCTTTAACCTCCTACGGTTTAATTTCCTCACTTGAAAATGGTTGTCCACACGGTTAGTGTGAGGATGTAGCTAATGCATGGTGTTCCATATTACCCTCTCCTCGGGTTCTGAATTCTAATTACAAATTCTCTAGTCGGAGATTATGAAAAAGGAACTCGTCTGGAAGTAAAAGGGGGGACTAACAGAACTCGGGATGTCTCCTGGTAAGGGTACTTCCCAGCCCCGGGCAGTTACTTAGCTTCTCGACGCCTTTTTGACGTTGGTTTTCACTTGCCATCCCTATGTGGGCTGACAAATTAGACCTTGCCTCCCCCTGCCTGCTTCTTACGCACATCTCTGGGGGAGGTGACTACGGCAGTGGTCGTGTGGGACTTCTGGCCACGCGAGGGCAGCATTCCCCCTGCCGGGCTCGCTCGAACCTTCCTGCAAACCCCTAGCCCAACCTGAACAGAACAAAACACCGCAGTGGGCGTCCCCTTTCCTTTCAACCCGCTGTGCCCGGCCACGACCAGCTTGCATTTAAGAAGCCGTTTCTCAGAATTCCACCGACTGTCAAGGCTCAGCCCGACGTTCTCGCGAGGCCACCACCGGAAGTGGGTGGCGGCGGGAACTCGGAGTTCTCGCGAGATATCGGCGGGAAGTGGGTGGCGGCCCGGCCGGAGCTGATCGCATCACTAGTCGGCTCTCGCTAGCTCGGAGCGGCTGCAGCCATTGCCTCCGGCGCTGTTTTCTGAGGACTCGCCCCGCAGCGGTCTCTCCTGCCCGGAGCTCGCGCGCTCGGCCTCCCGCTGCCCGGCGGTGCCCGTCGCCCAGCCCCCGGAGCCGCCGTCGCCGTCCTCGGTCGGTCCGCCGTTAGGCCGCACCTCAGGCCCAGTCCGTGGCGACGCCGGCAGGTGATGCCAAATACAGCCATGAAGAAAAAGGTGCTGCTGATGGGGAAGAGCGGGTCGGGGAAGACCAGCATGAGGTCGATCATCTTTGCAAATTATATTGCGCGCGACACCAGGCGCCTGGGTGCCACCATCGACGTGGAGCACTCCCACGTTCGATTCCTGGGGAACCTGGTGCTGAACCTGTGGGACTGTGGCGGCCAGGACACCTTTATGGAGAATTACTTCACCAGCCAGCGGGACAACATCTTCCGTAACGTGGAGGTTCTGATATACGTGTTTGACGTAGAGAGCCGCGAACTGGAAAAAGACATGCATTATTACCAGTCGTGTCTGGAAGCCATCCTCCAGAATTCACCTGATGCCAAAATCTTCTGCCTAGTGCACAAAATGGATCTGGTTCAGGAAGATCAACGTGACCTGATTTTTAAAGAGCGAGAGGAAGACCTGAGGCGTTTGTCTCGCCCGCTGGAGTGCGCTTGTTTTCGAACGTCCATCTGGGATGAGACGCTCTACAAAGCCTGGTCCAGCATCGTATATCAGCTGATCCCCAACGTTCAGCAGCTGGAGATGAACCTAAGGAATTTTGCCCAGATTATTGAGGCCGATGAAGTTCTGCTGTTCGAGAGAGCTACGTTCTTGGTGATTTCCCACTACCAATGCAAAGAGCAGCGTGATGTGCACCGCTTTGAGAAGATCAGCAACATCATCAAGCAGTTCAAGCTAAGCTGCAGTAAATTGGCCGCTTCTTTCCAGAGCATGGAAGTGAGGAATTCTAACTTCGCTGCCTTCATCGACATCTTCACATCAAACACGTATGTGATGGTGGTCATGTCAGATCCATCCATCCCTTCTGCAGCTACTCTGATCAACATCCGTAATGCCAGGAAACACTTTGAGAAGCTAGAGAGAGTAGATGGCCCCAAGCACAGCCTCCTCATGCGTTGAGTAATGCCAAATGCTCCTTAGTAAAATGCTGAATTACCTTTTTGTTTTTCTTTGCATCCCTGGTTTTTGATATTCATGTCGTGTGCTTAAAAGTGAGCTTTGAAACGTGTGCTTACTATCCCATCTCTTCCCTAGTCTTAGCATTGGACGCTATTTACTCAGCTACCCAGTAGAGCTTCAAGACGGCCTTTATGAAAAGTTGGTGTGGTGTAACACTAAAGTAGGTGGTTTGTGTGTGTGTTCTGGTTACCTGGTTATAATAGATAAGAATATTAAAGCAGTTATCTTCTGTATTATCAGATCACAAAGGTGGAATGTTACTATTTTATCAGCAAGATATTAAAATGTATTTCTAAATCCTTGGTTTCAATCATGAATAAACATTTATTATTAGCAATTTAAAATACGTTGTTTGAAATAATTAAGTAAAGATTCTGATTATCCACAAGTACTGTTTAACTGGCAAACTTCCCATTTTGCTAGTGTGGCCTCCACCACTCTGGCAGTGCTTCTTAGCAGCTGTAGCAGTGGTTAAGACTCAAAGGACTGGAGCAGTGACTCAGTGGTTAAGAGCACTGTTTTTCCAGAATACCTGGGTTCGATTCCCAGGATTCCCAGCACTCACATGGCAGTTCACCGCCATCTCTAACTGCATTTGTAGGGGATCTAACACCATCTTCTGGCCTCTGCAAGCACCAGGCACAAAACAGCCATACACATAAAAAAAAATTTTAATTAAAAATTGGATTCAAGGACTGGATAGTCATATAATGTAGCTCAATAGCAGATGGCTTGTCTATCGATGCACAAGATCCTGGGTTCAGACACTAGCAGCACATAAAAACGGAGTAGTGGTGCATGCCTGTAATCCCAGGTGAAGGCAGGAGGATCGGGAGTTCAAGGTCATCAGGAAGTTTAAGACCGGCAGAGATAACATGAGACACCCCCACCCCCGACCCACTCAATGGTAGAGTGCTTGTCTAGCACATGTGGAGCCCTGGTTCTGATCCTTTACTTGGAAGTTGAGCAAGACATTTGATTTCACTGTGCCTGTTCCCTTGTTTGTAGGTCCAATAAGAATACCATGACTGCCAAAAACTAACACAGAAAGCATCCAGAGTCGTGTGCCTGTAAGCTTTGACCAGAGCCATTCCTATGACTGCATGTGACATCTGGCTAAGTGTGAACCCTTTAAATGCTGGGTAGTAAGTACTTGGCATGCATGTATTTTAATTTATTAATTCATGAAGAAACTGGTGTGACCTTACTCAGGTGAGACACTTAGGCATTCTTACCAGACCCTCTGTCCTTCCTGTTATACCCCGCCACCACCATTAACAGAAAGGTTGTTTCAAAGAATAAACAAAAAATAAAAACCTAGCTTTTGCTAGGCATGGGCTCATTCCCTGTAATCCCAGTATTCAGGAGGCTAAGGTAAGAAGATAACCATGAATTTAAGGACAGCCTGGGTTACAGTAAGGTCTTGCCTCAAAAAAAAAAAAAAAAAAAAAAAAAACTATCATTTTATGTATAGATATTATCTCTTCATGTAATTCTAAATTCATAAACTGAAGAAACCAAGGCCCCAGAATTAGTATTTTGCCATTTGTATTTATCTGGAATTGCATGATACTGACCAGATTTGTAGATCACTTACTTTGTGGAAAAGGATTCTGAGGTGCCTAATGTGCATTAGTCATATTATATGGTAAAAACAATACAGACATAAACTGCACCATTCCAGTTCTAATAACAGCTTAAAGGCTGTGTTGAGTAGTTTCTTTTATAGCAGAGCCTTCTGATCAACTTGGAGCTTTTCATTTTACAAATGAGGCAATACATGTAAGTGATAGGGCTTTAAATTTTCTAAGGCTTTTTACATTATTTACTAAACACTAGCAGTGGGTATGATGACAGGTTCCCTACCCATGAAAAGCAAGAAGCTACGAAATGCATAAACTAGGCATGGTGTCACCACCTTATAATCCCAGCACTCAGGCAGGCAGCAAGAGCAATTTAGGCCACCCTGGGCTACACAGGAAGTTCCATGCACCTGCCTCAAAAAAATAAAATCTGCTGTAATAAATCTAGAGTCTAGGGATTAAAATACCAGTAACAAAGTACTCTTACCTGTATCACGGAGCCTTTCAAATTATTTTGATCAAATTGTACTTTTATATGTGATAATTTAATGGTCCAGGACATAACTCTTTTTGAAATACAGAGAATCCTAGACAGGTGGTACAACACTGAATATTTATTCTAGACAATAGTATGAGGAACACACTTATAAACAGTCCCTAGGAAACAGACATTTTCCACTTAAGAGTATGGACTCGCCAGCTCTTGGTGCATAAAGAAAAGTGATCTTTAGAGCAACCAGGCATCTGAAGTTTATACTGTCTTCACACATTAAACATGTCTTGAACACATTTTCTTTTAGTGCACTCGGGGAAAAAATAGTTTGCTTTTATACAGGTCTCAAGAATTCCTGTTTACACTTTAGATAAAATAAATGGCATGCCTTATAACTAAGAAAATATAGTAAAGGTTTCAAAATACCTGTTTAGTATATATACTAAATATATATAATAAACTAGATTTGTTAAACTGAATCCCTGCCCTCCAAATGTTCTTTAACTTCTCAAACTATTCTTTATCCTACTGGGTTACATTTTTCATGCACAGCAACATTACGTGCTTGCCCTCTTGAAACATTTAACTTTCAGGGACAGAGAGTGCATCCTTAGCACTCACAGGTTTGATCCCACCCCCTCAATAATAATTGGGACATACTTGCATCTAAAGTTTTACTTAATGTAGAAATCCATTTGAACAGCTTTTTAATCTTGGTGAAGAGAACAAGTTACACTCTATGTGACCAAAGAAAAAACTTATTTACCCCTTCTTTTATTCAGTCATAGAAGCACACAAAACTCCAATACTTAAGTATCTGTGACCCTTGGGATATGTATGTGCATGCACATGCATACCCCAGAGACATCTACATAGTTAAGAAGGTAGGTATCTAAGTTTGTACACAGCTGCTGTGATCAGAGATCACATACAATTTGGGGAGGTGTCTAATGAAGACACTAAGTGAAAGCTAGGCAAACACCTATAGTTCCAGCACTTGGGAGGCTGAGGAAGGAAGATTGCTGTGAGCTGAGACTAACCATGAACAATATAGTAAGACCCCCCTCTCCCCCTACCCCACACACACCAATATATATAAAACAAACAACAAAAGTTAAACAATACACTTCAGAAAAGACATAATACCATGGACCTAGGGAGGACAGATTAAGACTTCCAGGTGGAAAATGTGATTTGTTCTAAGCTTTGTTTTCCAGACAGGATCTTACTGAAGCCCTGGCTGTCCTGGAACTCACTATGTAGACCAGACTTGGAGATCCAAATGCCTCTGCCTCCTGACTGCTGAGATTAAAGGTGGGTTTTTTGGTTTTGGTTTATTGAGACAGGGTCTCTCTGTGTAGCCCTGGCTATCCTGTCACTCTGTAGACCAGGCTGGCTCAGAGATCCACCTGTCTCTGCCTCCCAAGTGCTGGAATTAAAGGCGTGAACCACCATGCCTGGCTTAAAATATTTATTAATTAAAGGGTTTAAGTGCTGTTCTGAGCTTTAAAAGGAACTATAACTGGCTGGAGAGATGCCTCAGTGATTAAGAGTATTGGCTGTTCATTCTGGGGTTCGAGGTTCAAGTCCCAGCACCCATATGGAAGCTAACACCAGTCTGTAACTCAAGTCCCAGGGGATCTGACTCCCTCTGTAGGCCTCCGTGGGGACCAGGCACTGAAGTGGTACATAGACATGCAGGCAAACATCCACACACGAAAACAAAATTTAAAAAATAACTAACTGGTATAATTAAAGGTTATTAAAATTTTCAAGTCAAAATAATGAAAGAACTGAGATGAGCTAGAAGGGCAAGGTAAGTACTCTAAAAGATCCCAGGGGAAGGAAGAGGAGAACTCTGTCTTTAAATTAGAACCCTATTCTAGAATGGACTTCTAAGCAAGGACCTGACATGATCAAAGTAATTCCTTATCATCAAAGGGAACCTCAGGAGATACTGGATGGGAAGGTGCCAAAAGCATTAAGTTATAATCACTTTGGAGAAATTACAAATTTGGGATTTTGTTCATGGTGCTGAAAACAGGAAATAGGCATGTCAGGAACATTCAGCAGATCATAGGTAAATTTCAGTGACTCATAACTCCAAAATATCCAGATACTTGATCTTTTGACTCTCATAATGAAGGGCTCCTAGAAAAATACACATACAATAGCATACCACTTCTTAAAGGTACCTTGAGGTGCCGGGCGGTGGTGGCACACGCCTTTAATCCCAGCACTCGGGAGGCAGAGGCAGGTGGATCTTTGTGAGTTCGAGGCCAGCCTGGTCTACAGAGCGAGATCCAGGAACAGCACAAAGCTACACAGAGAAACCCTGTCTCGAAAAACAAAAAGAAAAAAAAAAAAGGTACCTTGAGGCTAATATGAATCGCAACCTCTTAGCAGCAAACTATTGAAGAGATACTAGTCCATTCAAACATGTGGCTCTGGCAGGCCTTCCCTCACATTCCCTCTGCCTTGCTACAAAATACATTACATTCCTAAAGCTAGCAACCTAGGTCTATTTCCTTATTTGGCCACTTCCTCCTCCTGAGGCTGATTACCAAGGTCCAGTTACCAAAGTATTAAACCCAGCAATCAGAATCACATGCCCAATTAAAATTAAATACCTCATCCGAACACAGGGTTTCCCCCTTTAACTTTATAAACTGCCATTTGCTTATATGCCACATCTGTCTCCTCTCTATCCAGAGGCAGTCCTTTGTCCCTCCAGGACAAATACTCCTTCCCCCTTTCCCTTGTTTCCTTCCCCTTCTCCTTCGTAACCTCCTTTACCACCGCATCCTAGCCCATTCTAACACAGACCTCCCCTTTTTCTCCTCTTAACAATTACACCTGCAAGGTCATTTGCTGCTGTTTTCTGCAACCACTTTAGCTTTTCTTCCCCACTTAATAAAGGATCTCTATGAAAACAGGTGTTTGGGTATGGTTTGTGCCTAATCCAGGGTCCAGGAGGAAACCCCTACTATTTGAGGGTCTCCTTCAGAACTTATAAATTACCAGGGAATCATATCTGAGATGAGATTTCCAGGCCCTCTCATAGACAAGCATTTTAAAAAGGCATCCCAGATGATCCTAACACAGTTGGCCCCTGCATTCCACTCCAGCCTTTCATCTCCCTAGCTTCAATACCCGCAGGCTCGGCATACCTGCTATCTCAATTATGAAGGCTAAATAAACATGCATATTAAACACTTAGCTTTGGCTCTGGCGTGACAGAAGCGCTGACAGTCACTCCTCTTACCTAATATGCTACTCAGAATTTAGATACTAGGCTGTCTGTAAAGCAGACCGTACAGTCCCTGCTTTGCTGTATTCGTGAAACCCAGCACATTTGGAACTCGTCCTCTCTTTCCACTGCCAAGAAGGAGCTGTTACATGGTCCTCTGACACTCAACCACTTCCAGTACTCTTTCCTCCAACCTTTCTCCTCCCTCATTTTCCACAAGACTTGGGGACAAGATTTTGATAGTTACAAACTGAGGCTCTACACAGAACTGAAGGAGATAAATCCACCTTTCAGTGCCTCTTCTAGCCATTCTTATTCAGGCACATGTATTCATTACTTGGATGTTACCAAAAAAAAAAAAAAAAAAAAAAAAAAAACAATTTCTGGGCCAGGGGCCTGGACAATAAAGCAAAATGTTACAAAATGTACAAATGTTATAATTACTTAAATCCATGTTCATTTTTCTCAAATTATTTTTGGATATTCTGTAGGCACTAGGGAACTTTAATAGTTCTGACCAGTAACATAAAACTTACTGCTTTTCCCAAAACAACACCCACAGGCAACAAGAGTAAAACAGATTTGTGAATTTTTCATTTATATTTTTGTTAAATATAAACTAGGGTTTAATTCTCAATCTACATAAACAAAATAGTACAGTTTGACAGTGTTCTTTAAATGTCTGGTCATCTTCTACCTTTCCTCTTTTTCGCAATTCATTCTGTCTTGTCTTTACTTATAACATGTGTTTTATCCCATCAACATCATTCTTCAGGATCAATATACTTGGAATTCATTAAGCCTGTTTACAATTTCACAAACTTTAAAATCTGTTGTTCTTACTATACATCCAAAGGCACTACACTGCACTCATTTTTTCTTAGTACCAAAATATGCCATAAAGATTCAATAAAAAGGTTTGTTTGTCTAAAATGAAAGATGAGGCTCTTCAGTGGCTATTAGATTACACACTCACCCTAAGTTAATAACTGATATTTTAACACAACTATGACATTTGCCATTAACTTATGTTACAAGAGTATTCTAGGAATCAAAATAGTTTCCCAAAACTTGACATTTGCTATTTCTAAATACTTCACATTTCAACCTCATATATTTATCAGAAAAGAGCTAAACACCTAAAGACATTACAAGAGGCCAAAGTGCATCCGAAACTTCTTTGACCCTGGAAAAAGAGTATTATACTTCCAATGCATGTGTCTAGATCAGCTGCAGTTGAGTGACAAGGCTTCTGCTTTAGCATCACAGCTAAATTAACTGGAAACTGCTTCATCTTGTCAAATCAGAGATTCTCTTGCTTCAAGGCTCTTATTTGAGATTTCTTCTTCTGCAAAATTGATTTTTAAAGGAGGAAAATAAGCATTACAAAGAAAAGAAAGAACAATTCCAAGTAATAGCAAATTTCTTGATTTCGAGAAGGCTCACTTTGTGCAACACTCACTAATAAATAATGAATAAAATTACCATTTCTACTGAAATGCCTTTTCTCCAAAAATCAATACCCTTCTGGAATATTTTTCAAAAAAACTAGTGTTTAATTATCATGAGAAAGTCAAAGTGATATGCAAGGAATCAGTATAACAAAGCCTACCTCGGTCCTAAAATACTGAAATATAATTTTAGTTCTTTATTATACAACTTTTAAAACATGAAAATAAGAGAATTATAATTAATAAAATGTGCTGACTAGTTGGCTTCAATAACTTATACTAATGTAGGCTGAACTGTGCCCACCAAGACACTGTGACTATATTTGGAAAGAGACTTGGTCTGTCTCTCTCCATGGACATATATAATCATAGGGATTCTGAAAGTACCCATAAAGTGAGGGCTCATTCCTCTTACCCTAGATGAAAGTATAAAGCTTATATTTAGCACATTACCCATCATGATCGTGCAACATTCACTTTGTACTATATTTATGAAAAGGTAAGTGAACAGGAGGAGATTAGAAATAGCCTGGGCTACATGGTAAATTTGAAGCCAGCCTGAACTATACAGTGAGTCTGTGGCTAGCCAGAGGTACAATGCTGAGGTACTGTCTTAGGAAGGGAAAAAACAGTTGAGAGAATGGTTCACCTAGGGTGTATGCACGGGTCTGGTTAATGCTTACCTTTTAAGTTAGGCAGAAATTCCCTGAGACTACATGGTAACACAGTCCTCAATTTTTGCTCCAGCAGAGAAACTTTAGTTAGTGGTGATACAGACTGTGTTCTTTCATCAAGAGATATGTGGGAAGATGGCTTTGTGTAGTCAATAAACAAATCCTGAGTGCCCAAAACAGTATGTGGATCATCCGCTTGCATGTCTTTGGCTATAGGGCTCAATTCTAAGTTATGTTTTTCAAGTGTCTTGGAATGAGACAGGTGAGATTCTTTCCTTATCTTGTTAAGGGATTTCTTCAGAGTCTCCAAACTACTGAAAATAGCCTTTGAACTGGAATCTACTTCTGCAGTGGCTTGTCTTTTTCCAGCATCACCCGGAAAAGCATCACTGTGCACATAAATATTCGGTTCCAGTCTAAAACTGGTCTCTGAACTAGTAGAACTATTAAGACTTAGGTGACCAACTTCTTCTGGAAGAGTCTCATGCAATATTCCAATGCCACTCAACCTCTGAAAAGAGTCCCATAACAGAGTTTTACGTGTGGAAGGTTCACTGCAAGAAGCCTGTGAGTGGTCCGATACTTGAACAGAGTCCTCTTCACTTCTACCCATCACATCTATTCCACTGCCCATAGCACGGGAGAATGCCTCCATTTGTCCAGTGTCTGAAAGCCTGGTGGTTGCACACTCTAAATCTTGCTCACAAAGCATTTTCTCATTTATCAAGTCAGACTCATCTTCTGTTGGGGGTTCACCGATCTGAGTTGTCAAAGGTTTCTGAGGCACGCTCTTGAGCTGGTCTGGAACAGCTTTCTGTTCAGGTAAGTAGGACTGATCGAAATCTGAGGAAAAAATAGCCATGCTGAGGTCCCTCTGGCTGTGCAGTGCTGGTGAGGACCCTGGTGACATGTCTCTACCTCCGGCATCTACCAGAATCGCATCTGAACTTCTGTTAGCTCCAGTGTCAGCTTTTCTCCATGAGCTCCTGACTTCAGTTACTAATCAAGGTGGAAAAAAAACATCATTTACTATTTACATATTCCCAAAACATGGACATGCAACTAAAATCTTTATTCTAGTACTGCCTCAGTCCAAGTTCCATACACATGCCAACAGGATGACAAACCTGAACATCAGGAAACTTCATCTCCAAATGAGCAAACTCAAGTCAGTACATACAATAGCTGTTCCTGAAATATACCTCACCTCTACACAATACATGTGATTACATGCATGAAAACCACATTTTCTTGTCCATTCATGCCAGAAATGGGCAGAATTTTTTTTTTTTTGGATAAAAGATTAGATGCTAATATTTTAGGCTCTGTTGGCTATTTGATCTTCCACAACTCCTCAAATCTGCCACTGTAGCATGAAAATGGCTATAAACAATTTGTCAACAAGTGAGCAAGGCTGTGTTAAACATAATTAAACACACACACACGAGATACATGCTCAACTATGTTCATAGCAGCACTATTTGTAATAGCCAGAACCTGGAAACAACCTACATGCCCATCAACTGAAGAATGGATGAAGAAAATGTGGTACATATACACAATGGAGTACTACTCAACAGAGAAAAACAATGAAAGCATGAAATTTGCAGGCAAATGGATGGAACTAGAAAAAAATCATCCTGAGTGAGGTAACCCAAACCCAGAAGGACAAACATGGTATGCACTCATTCATAAGTGGATTCTAGATATAAAATAAAGATCAATCAGACTACAATTCACAGAACCACGGAGACTATATATATAGCATGAAGGTCCCTAGGACAACTGTAGCTTATAATAAATTTCGATTTTACTCAATTACTGAGCAAGCCTCAATGAAACATCTCACTATTAAGATAAGAATACATACTGTATCAAGATGATAATAGAAAAATTAATTTTAAACAAAAAAATAAAAATAAAAGAAAAATTTGAAATATTAAATAAACAAACAAACATTTTACTAAAGTAAAAAAAAGGAGAACTAGGGACTCATCATTCCTCTCCACATTCTATTCTTTCCCTTGTTTTATATATTTTAAATTTTTTATCAGTGGATTCTGCTGGAGTATCCAATGCAGATAAGCACTGGAGGGCTCCTGTTGCAAATCACCCTCTGGAGCGATGGAAGGCTCTTTCTACTAGCACATGGAGGAGACCCGATCTAGTGTTGGTGTGGGCCCGGGGTTCTGTTTATGTCTTTCCTTAGGACAATGAGGTTCCTCTTTGGATTCCTGAGCACTGAATGCACCCTGTGGCTGCTGCTGAAGCCCAACATGACAGAGACCTAATGGGTCTTCATGAAAAAAATCTACCCTTCTGATGCCAATGGAGATTGAGAGCCCAATATCACAAGCTTTGGCAAGCATTAATGTAAGCCTAGGAACTGTAGCCATGAGATTGGATTCTCCAGAAGAGCTGCCAGCTAAAGTCGTGCTGGGATCAAGAAAAATGGGCCTTGGCGGTTCGTGTTACTGGAGTTGTATCCATGCCAGTGGATGTCCACACACTCCAGAAGAGAATTTGACATTGCTGCTGCCGCTCTTGCTGTTATAGCAATGGCGGTCACCGCTGCTACTGTGTCTGGGATTACCATTTCATAAATGCTTACTACAGCTAGCACAGTGGAGACCCTGGCAACAAAAGTAGCTACCACAGTTAGTTAATCTTCCATTCTATTGGGCATGAGAAATTAAATTCAGTAGTTATATACATCTCGATTGGCTTTGAAAATTATAAATTTATAAACTCAAGTTTCAGTTGCTTTTGGGATACTATCTTACAAGGACTCCAACGTACAGTATGGCTCGTTAAGGAAGAGAATGGCTCAGTTGCCTTTAGCCTACTGGCTATGGGTGAGATAGGACCTCTGTTGGTCTTTTCTGTGTCAAACACACAGACTGCAAGCCCAGTGCCACTTTGAGATCTTTGGCAGCAGTTAACTCTGCAGCTCACACACTATTGAGCCTGTATGATAATGAGTATTCAGAGACGGGTAATGCCTGGGGGGCACTCACCAACCTAAGACAGAGCACCTGTGGGGCCTGGGCAGGCGTCTCCATGACGGGTAAGGTGACCTGTTGACGTCCCACGCAACCCAAGTCAGAAGCTCATTATTTAATAAAAGGGGGACCTGTAAGTCCCTGGCCCCTGTTTTGGGTAACTTGCCTTGCTTGTGGATCTTGACCTTGATATCCTCCCTATGCTAATTCCCTGCCAGGTTCCACCCTCCTGAATGCTTAAGGGAAGTTCCTTGTCTGTGTATCCTGAATAATGGGCATTAACAGCTTAGATGCAAGATTGTAAAACATCAGTAGCGAACTTCTGCCCTCCGGGGTTCTCCCATTGTGCTGTAAGCCTGTATTTAAGACCTCCTCCCTCCTTCAATAAATGACATTCGGCATTTAAAATTAAATATATATATAAAATTGAATGAATACTGCGAATGTAATCTATGAATACCACATTAATATCATGAGTGTAATTAATGAATATCATGAGTGTAATTTAAAAAATAAAAAAAAATTAAAAAAAAATAATTAAACACACACACACACTGCAGGACTCTATTTACTTCACTGGTTGTCATCCAAAGAACACCAACCTAGGCTGTCTCACTTCAGTATAAATTAAATCAGCAGCAAAGAAGAAACTATATTTAATCATTGAACCCAAACAATCTACATTGGTTAAATAAGGAAATATGTATCAGACATTTGCCTACACCAACTGTTATGTATTAAGGGGAAGCATTTAGCACTATGATTATTTTTGCCAAGTGGTAAAAATCTATGCAAGCAGTGTGATAGTTCTGTATGACTGCTGACTAAAAAACATAATCCCCATACTCACTAAACACATTTGTTTATTTAGAGGGTGTGTGTGTGTGTGTGTGTGTGTGTGTGTGTGCATGCACACATACTATGGTGCATGTATGAAGGTCAGAGGACAACTTCCAAGAGTCCATTCTCTCCTTCCACTCTGTGAAAGATGACTCAACTGGCCCCAGAATTTTTTTTTCAAGTGACCAAATAAAATATTTTGCAGAAAAATAGCCAAGTAACACAATTAAAACAAGATTATAATATCAGGACTGATTATGCTTCTGTGTGGGTACACTGAAGTCACAAAAGATTACTGATGAAAGACTGTTGTATAAATGTAAGTAATCACACTGTATACTTCAACAAAATTCCATTATATCAGAATAAAAAGCGACTGCCAATGAAACAAGAAATAAGGTTGTTTCCAAGTAACTGTCAGACCATAAGTGTAATAATGGTGACAGTGTCTTAGAAAGGGAAACCGGGGCAGAAAGCATTAACTTACTCAAGTTTTCTGGAGTTCGGGGAATTTGTTTCCTGGTTAAGAAAGGATTAGAAATCAGAGTGTCAATTAGCTCCTCCAATTTTACTTCTTTTCCTTCAGAGAGCTGTGGTGAATCAGATAGAACTACTCTGGCAACCTGCAACAGAAAAGAAAAAAAAAAAAAATGACCGAGCCCAGACAGAACTACGACAGAAACTCCAGTAGGAACCGTGAGCACATCACAGCCAGCAGCCCATGACTAGCAGACGGCAGATTAGACAACAATGAAGCTCCTGAGAGGCTGCAGATAGATAGTCCAGGCACCATCCTGCTGTAAAATGGAACACCAGAGTATTTCTTGTTGTAATCTTAAAGGGATAATACGAAAGAAGAAAGAACAGGTTAGACTCTTTATACTCTGCCAGGCATAGTGGTGCACAACTTTAATCCCAGCGCTCAGGAGACAGAGGCAGGTGGAGTGAGTTACAGGACATCCAGAGCTACATAGTGAAACCCTGTGAGTGAGTCAGGGAGGAAGGGAAGGAGGGAGAGAGGGAGGGAGGAAGGGAGGGAGAGAGGGAAAGGGGGAGGGAGGGAGGGAGAGAGGGAGGGAGGAAAGGTGGGGTCCTTTACACACAGGAAGACTTTGTTTTTGTTGTTTTGTTTTTAAAACAAGGTTTCTTTGTGTAGCTCTAGCTGTCCTGGAACTTACCTGTAATCCCACCATTTCAGACACAGACAGGAAAACCATCATGAGTTCAAGGCCAGCTAGGGCTACATAAAGAACTTGTCTCAAACCACTAAATATTCATTTTACTTTCAGTCTCATGAGATTTTAGGATTCTCTTCTTCTATCCCACCCTATTCCATTGTTGATATAAATTCTTTTTATTGTGTTTTGGGGTTTTTTCCTTAATTTTTTATATTTTTTTAGTTTTATGTGTATGAATATTTTTGCCTGCACACATATATGTATATGCACCACATGTACAACTGTTGGATGCCCTCAAACTGGGATAATGGGTGGCTGTGAGCCAAAATGTGGATGCTAGAAATCAAACCTGGATCCTCTGGACAGGCAACAAGTCCTCTTACCACTGAGCCATCTCTCAGGCCCATATTTTTTTAATTTGTTTTATTTGCTGGGACAGTCTCATGTAGCCTAGGATTGCCTGGAACTCATTATTTAGCAGAGAATGACCTTGAATTCCAGACCTTCCTGCCTCCATTTCCCAAGTGCAATCTAAATTCTATTAAATTGAAAATGTACCTTACTTTCCATAACTAGGAAATTCTGATTTTAAAAGGACTGATCATCTTTTTGTAGTCAATAAAGAGAATTAACAGAATATTAGAGACTTAGAAGCATTCAGAAACCACGAAATTGGCCTCATGCTACAAATAGAATTAATTGGCATTAATCCCATTCTCTGACATTGTACAGTGCTAATTTAGTAAGGTCAAAACTGATAAAGGAGACACTAAAACCCGAATTTATACAGTCTAAAGGCTATTTTTAAGTCCCTTGGAAATAAAGTGTGGTATACTATGACTGCTTAATCAAATATTAATTCAAATAATGCTAAATTATAAAACAAGATAGCAACAGTGAAAAGCCTGAGTATTTAATTTGTATAAACTGGCCTGTGGGTACTGATCAAGTCATTTGACATAAAAACAGGACTACCTAAGGGAATCAAATTAGAGGCTGGCAAGATAGCTTAGCAGGTAAAGCCACTTGCCACAATGACCTGAGTTTGGTTCCAGGGACCCACAATACAGAGAACCAACTCCTCCAAGTAGTCCTCTACCTCCATATACATGCTATAGAATACATACATGCACGCACACACTCACACAAATATGAACTTTTTCATTTAAAAAAAATTTAAAAAGCCAGAGAGAGGGCTCGGTGGACAAGAGCAGTTGCTCCTGCAGAGAACCCGGGTTTGGTTCCCAGTACCCACACAATGGCTCACAACCATCAGTAACTCTACCTCCAAGGGCTCTAACACCTTCTTCTGACTTCTTCAGACACTGCACACATGTGATGCACATACATACATGCAGGCAAAACATTCATACATAAAAAACAAATCAAAAAAATTTTAAATATTAAAATAATAGCCAGGCAGTGTTGGCACACGCCTTTAATCCCAGCACTCGGGAGGCAGAACCAGGTGGATTTCTGTGAGTTCGAGGCCAGCTTGGTCTACAGAGCAAGATCCAGGACAGGCACCAAAACTACACAGAGAAACCATGTCTTGAAAAAAACCAAAAATAAATAAATAAATAAATAAAATCAAGGACTAGAGAGATGGCTCAGAAACTAAGAGCATGCATTGCTCTTGCAGAGGACCTAGGTTCAGTTCACAGCACCCACATGGTAGATCATAACCATCTAACTCCAGTTCCAAGGGATCCAACACCCTCTTTCTGGCCTCCTCTGGCACCAGGCATACAAATGACGCCCATACATACATACATACATACATACATACATACATACATACATGCAGGCAAACACAAAAAGAATTTAACTAAACAAAAAAAATTTAAAGTCAATGAATTGATAACATCTTTAGTCACTTTGGAATATTTAGAAAACAAAGTCAACAAACACTCAATGGTATCACAGAATTTTAGTTCTCATATTTAAAAACAGCTAAGAAACACAAATAAGTATTCAAATAACTATAATTATTGAGGGCATTTACCTGAAAATTTATGGAATGGTTTAATCCATAAACTACTGGATATGTATTATGTTTATACACTGAATGATATTTATTATAGAATGGGAAGTAAAACTAATAATAATACGTCAATTTTAACTAAATATAAGAAATCTACTTTTACTTTTTTAAGAAGGCTGATTTTATTTTAGCCTTGAGTTTTATAAAGATTATTTTTATTTTTAATTATGTCTTCTATGTGCATGCCCATGAGTCCAGTGGCCAAAGAGGCCAGAAGAAAACATCAAACTCACTGAATACTGAGTTACAAGCAGTGGTGAGCCACCCAACCTAGGTGCAGGGAACAGAACTCAGGTCCTCTGCAAGAACAGTGCATGCTCTTAACCACTGGCAATCTCTCCAGCCCCTAGCCTACATTTTTATTATCCGTGACTTCCTTTACTTAAAATTACCCCTGCTACTCAATAACTGTACTCCATTTCTGATCCCAACACCATTTAGAAAATAACAAATATGAAACATGAAGCTGGGCAGTGGCGGCACACACATTTCATCCCAGCAGAGGCAGGCAGATCTCCGAGTTCAAGGCCAGTCTGGTTTACAGAGTGAGTTCCAGGACAGCCAGGACTACACAGAGAAACCTTGTCTTTTTTTTTTTTTAATCTTTTTTTTTTTTTTGGGGGGGGGGGGGTAAATAAATAAATAAATAAATGTATTTATCAATAATCTTTTTCTAACCTCTTCTACCAGATGATCTTGCTCTTTCTGGAATGGATCACTCTTTGTCACTGGCAGAGAGCCTCTGAATCCACTACTCTGTATGTTCTTTGCAGTATCTGATAAAGGAGAGTCTTCCATGTCAGGGTCTGGCACTTTTCTGGAAGTCATCATGGTTTTCTCTTTGAGAATTCTCATATCTGGATCCTGAAAAAGAGAGATACAGTATAACCTTAATGATCATGGCCAATTTTGAAGCTCTCTTCATCCCATGGGTTAAAGTGGGGCTGTTTTACTTTTTGAGACAGGGTCTTCTTAAGTAGCCAGGCTAATCTTGAATTGCAGTGTAGCCCAAGCTAGCCTTACCTGGAGACACTTATGCTTCAGCCTCTCAAGCACCAGGCTCACAGGAGTGTGTCATCACACTGATAAAAGACAATAAATACTATTTGGAAGTATATGTTCACTGGCAGAGCTAAATAATTTCATATTCTAGGGGCTGGAGAGATGGCTCAGAGGTTAAGAACACTGACTGCTCTACCAGAGGTCCTGAGTTCAATTCCCAGCAACCACATGGTGGCTCACAACCATCTGTAATGAGAACTGGTGCCCTCTTCTGGCATGCAGCATACATGCTGTATACATAATAAATAAATAAATCTTAAAAAAAAATAAAAATTAAAAATAAAAAATAATATCATATTCTTATTTAGCAATAGAATAGAAAAAGTACAAAAATGGGAAAAGCAACTTTGAATGTAATTAAGTTATGTCACCAAAAATAATATTTTATGCTAAATCACTATATTCACAATTAATTAAAACTGTTTTTTTTTTTTTTTTTTTTTTTTTGGTTTTTCGAGACAGGGTTTCTCTGTGTAGCTTTGCGCCTTTCATGGAACTCGCTTTGGAGACCAGGCTGGCCTCGAACTCACAGAGATCCGCCTGGCTCTGCCTCCCGAGTGCTGGGATTAAAGGCATGCGCCACCACCGCCCGGCCTTTTTTTTTTTTTTTTTTTTTTTTTTAATTTTTTTTGGTTTTTTCGAGACAGGGTTTCTCTGTGTAGCTTTGCGCCTTTCCTGGAACTCACTTGGTAGTCCAGGCTGGCCTTGAACTCACAGAGATCCGCCTGGCTCTGCCTCCCGAGTGCTGGGATTAAAGGCGTGCGCCACTTTAAAGCCAGGCATTAGACAGCTGTGTAATCCCAATCTGTGGGGAGGCTGAGACAAGAGAATTGCCATGGGTTCAAGATTGGCCTGGCTACAGAGTGAGTTCAAGACAAGAGCCTGGTCAATTAGCAAGGCCATGTCTTGCTGTGCAACACTCTTTGTACACTGTAAATATGTATTGCTCTTATTGTTAATAAAAAGCTGATTGGCCAATTGGCTAGGCAGGATTTTCGGGGCAAAGAGAATGCTGGGAAGAAGGACAGAGTCAGAGGAGTCACAAGCCAGACACAGGGGAAGCAGGATGTGTCAACATTGAGGTTAACAAGCCATGAGCCATGTAGTAGAACTTAGATAAGAAATATGGGTTAATTTAAGTTATAAGAGTTAACTAGTAACAAGCCTGAGCTATTGGCTGAGCACTTATAATTAACATTAAGTCTCTGTACGTTTATTTGGGAGTGGGTGCTGAGACAGAGAAATCTGACCTACAGTATCTCACAACAAAAATGAAAACTGTTTTACAATATACCTTTTCAAGTAGTGTGAAACTGTTTGTATCTGACGACGAAGGACACTGTAAGGGGAAAGTTGCAGGGCTGAAAGAAAGAAGACAGCAAACCCAAGTTATGAGTAGGGAGGCATTAACTAACTTGGTGTATCTGAATATCTAAGAAATTGTCTGCCCCGTATCTGTCCATGACGATTTCACTCAATTCGTCCTGGTCATCGAAAGGCAATTTATTCTAGGGAGGTCTAGTGACAATTAGAGCAGTACTTCTGCCCAATCTGTGTATCAATCTCCCAATTAACTCAAACTTTCTTACTTTATAATTTTTGTCAATAATATTTTTCACATGGTTAAATGACTTGACACACAACAATTTCAATACAACTTAAAACCAAATTCAACTAACTAGAACTGCATTATTACAATGTGCTCAGCATGTTAATACAATTTCACAGTAGAAGAGACCTTAATATTCTTTTAACCAGATGTGGTAACACACACCTGTAATATCAGATAGCTCACTGGCAAACACTCGCCATGTAAACCTGGCAACCTCAGCTTGATCCCCAGATCCCACAGTAGAGCAGAACAGACTCTCAAAAGTTGTCCTCTAACTTTTGCACACAGACACACTTGTGCCCCCACATAAACACATAATAATAAATATTTTTTTCCTTTTAAATATTTATTTTGGTTTATCATGAGGGGTGGAAGTTTTTTTTCTTTTTTTTTTTTTGGTTTTTCGAGACAGGGTTTCTCTCTGTAGTTTTGCGCCTTTTCCTGGAACTCACTTGGTAGTCCAGGCTGGCCTTGAACTCACAGAGATCCACCTGGCTCTGCCTCCTGAGTGCTGGGATTAAAGGCGTGCGCCACCACTGCCCGGCTGGGAAGTATTTTTTTAATAGCATCTACAGATTAAAATTCCATAGCAAGAATAAAATGTAAGTATACTGCCCTGCATGAAGTCCTGAAAATTCCAGCACCAAGTACTGAATTTCTTTAAAGAATAATATAAAGTCTTTTTAAATATGAAAAAAAGCAACTAGCAGTCCACCCACCTAAACCTCCAATGCCAGTGTGTCTGTATTAAATACGCTTTACACTGCTCCCTTTCCAGGCCATGAAAAAACACAATAGAGTAATTAAAATATGTATGTTCATGGAAGTACAAGTTTTAATAATAAAAACAGTAATTTGTAAGCTACTAACCTGTTTCAGAGATTAGACACACTAAGGGCTTCTTCCCATGTACAGAGATTCTTATTATTATCATAAAATTTTTAATTTTGTGGATCAGAATTTTTAACTAACAAAAAGATTTGGTATTTCATGATGAAATCAGTTTCTCCTGTGACTCTTGCTCTATGACAACTATGTTACATAGGGAATGAAACTGTTTGCTCAGAGTTCTCGTTTACCCCATTCTGCCTGTGCCTCAGTCTTTTAGATTCCCCTGCTCCTCTGCACCAACGTTAAAACGCCATGGTATCTTTTCAGGTTAATTAAAAACAAGTTATTTTACACTTTAAAAACCTTAAAAGGAATAACTTTAAAGTAACCTGGGATATGGATGAATGTGGATGAGGTTGGTATAATGTTCACATAGCATGCACAATCCTCAACACCCCATAAACAGGGTGTAGTGTTAGCCATGTGCCTGTAATTCTAAAACTGTAGGTTAAGACAGGAAGGTCAGAAGTGTGAAGAAGGCACCTGATACCTCATAATGCAAGCTTCACAAGCTGAGTTTGATCCCCAGGACCCATACAAAGGTGGAAAAAGAGACCCAGAAGGTCAGCTATCTACTGACTTTCACATGTGTGCTATGGTCCATGCATTTACAACCCAAGTGTGAGAACTCACAAGGTACACACAACAACAGTAAATAAACTTTCTTTAAAAACAAACAAACAGAAAAAGTAGTTAAGGATAGCCTAGATGATCCTTTCTACATAGCAAGTTTGAGGCTAGCCTGGCCTACAAGAGACCCAGTTACAAAAGAAAAGAGTAAGTCTCATCTTAATTTCAAAAGATCTTTTAAGTTCTAAGCGTGCGCGCACGAGAGAGAGAGAGAGAGAGAGAGAGAGAGAGAGAGAGAGAGAGAGAGAGAGAGAGAGAGGAGAGAACACTGCCAAGAGCAAGCACTTTGCTTACTTTTCATGACAATACAAAGTGAACAGCTTTGCTAATTAATCTGGTGGGTCTTGAGTTCCAGGGCAGTTAGAGCTATATATAACAGAACTGAGTTTTTCTTTTTCTCCTTTTTTTTTGTAATATCATGTGCAGAGTTTTTCTTTCTTTTTCTTTCTTTCTTTCTTTCTTTCTGTTTGTTTTTGGAGGTGGGGTGGTGCCTAGAGAGACAGCACAATAGTTAAGAGCATTTGTTGCTCTTCCAGAGGACCCAAGTTCAGTTCCAAACATGTACACAAGGCAGATCACAACCACCTGTAACTTCAGCTCCAAGGGATCCAACATCCTCTTCTGACTTCCCCAGCAACTATGTACATATACATATCACAAAAATAAAAATTAATCTTTTAAAGGGGTCAGGCTGATGACTCAGTGGGTAAAAGTACTGGCTGTGCCGGACTGGAGGTCTAAGCTCAATTCCTAGAACACCCTGGAAGAGAAAAACAATCCCCAAAGTTCTCTGACCTCCACATGAACACAATGCCATGTGCACACACACCATCACCCCATCATACACACACTGAATAATAATAAAATAAAATTTAAAACAAATCAATTAGTAATAGGTATAACACCCCCAGCAACTGGAGGAAGAAGAGTCTTGAAATTGGGTGGGTAGGGAGGTAGGGTAGATCCAAAAGGAGTTGGGGGAGAGGGTAGTGAATCAAAATACACTGTATTACATTCTCAAAAAATTAATAAAAAATATTTAAGGATGATGTATGAATATATAATAAACCATTATGTTTAGTCAACATATTCTAATTAAAAATATGTGTAATTTAAAAAAAAAGAAAGCCAAGACTAGAATCTAGTTTTTTACCTAAGTTTAGGAAGGATGTCAATATAAGGAAAGAGGAAAACATGGATATGATGTCACATCCCTTTTATTCCAAGACCCAGGAAGCAAAAATCAGGTAGAGCTCTGTGAATTCAAGGTCAGCCTGGTCTATATAGCAACTGCAGACTAGCAATTCAAAAAGTAAAAATGTCAAAAAGTAAATAAACAAATCAAGAAAACAGCATCACCATTATACACTGGAAATTTTGCAAAAAATTGCCAGAAAAAGAGTGCTCACAACAACAAAGGAATAACCGACTACTACTGAATATTGATTATTGATCAAGTACAATGCTATCTCTATCAGCTTACTCTAATCAAAACCAACAATAAAACTTAGGGTGCTCTGATTACCTGTGATAGTAAGTGAATGTGAAAAGGCCTAAAAATACTCTAAAAACTGTACTCTTTCTATGGTTTTTAACTGTTACTTTCAATTCATATCATTTTCCCCAATAATCTTCCCTTCACAATTTTCATAGGAAACTTATTTTTATCTGTTTCTCTTCCACTTGGGGAAGATGGACTAAAGAAATCTACATAAGCCAAACATCAATCAAATAATACATGTGGCTCTGGAGCTCTGGCCCCAAGCTTAAGAGCAGTACACCTCTTGCAGAGGATCCAAGCTCAGTTCTTAGCATACATACTGGGCAGCTCCCAACATGAACCTCTTAACTACAGCGGATCTGATACCCTCCTCTGAAGCCTACAGGCATCTGCACTCATGTGCACATACCCATACACATATACACATAATTAAAAACACTAAACACAAATCTTAAAAAAAAAAATGGAGCCGGGCGGTGGTGGCACAGGCCTTTAATCCCAGCATTCAGGAGGCAGAGGCAGGCAGGTCTCTGTGAGTTCGAGGCCAGCCTGGGCTACCAAGTGAGTTCCAGGACAGGCTCCAAAGCCACACAGAGAAACCGTCTGGGGGAGGCGGGGGGGGGGGGGGGGGGGGATAGCTAGGACTGGCAAGATGGCTCAGCAAGTAAAGCCCCTTGTCGCCAAGCCTAACGACCTGAGTCTGGGCCTTGAACTAACACTGTAGAAGGAAGGAATGAACCAACTCAAAATAAGTGTGAAAAACAACACAAAGGCTGCAGAGATGGTTCCTGGGCTTCCTGTACAAGCTGGAAGACCAGAGTTCAGAGCCTCAATAACCACATAAAAATGTCAGACATGGCAGCCCAAAACCCATAATCCTAGGAGACAAGAGACAGAAGGACCTCAAAGGTTCACTAGCCACCCAACGTGGCTGATTTGTGAGATCCGGGTTCAATGAGAGATCCTGTCTCAAAATATATGGTAGCGAGTAATAGAAGAAAACACCTGGTGATGACCTTTGGCGTCCACATATGCACACATGCATGGGTGCGCACATGGCACACACACTTGCATACACAAGCATAAAGCACACATGTACACATAAATCCAAGTATCTGTTCAGTGTACCTGTTTCACTGTTACATAATAATTCTTACTTGCAATAAAAAATATGTGGATTACGTACATTTAATTCAGAATTTTTTACTTTTTTTTTTTTTTAATTCACGGGGGGTTGTGCATTTCACAACACACATGTGGAAGTCAGTGGACAATTTGGGAGAGTCAATTCTCTCTTTTCACTATGTGAGTCTGAAGGATCAGGGTGGAACTCAGGTCCTCAGGCTTGGTAGTAAAAACCTCTACCCACTAAAGCTATCTCACTGGTCATCAGTTTCTTACTTTTTATCAGGCATTCATTGTAAGAGCTAAAATGGGTTAACAGAAAACGGGAAATAAAGAAAATAGAATTTCTAAAGGAAGTGGTAACAAAATAGGTTTAGGTTTTTCATATTAAATTTGGGATTTGAGTAAATTAGGTTTTTCATACTAAATTTGGGATTTTAGTAAATCAGATGTTGTCTAATATTTTTCCTAAGACTGTTAACTCTATAAAATATCAAAAACTTCGGTATAAGCCTGGTATAGTGGTGTATGCACACCTTTAATCCTAGCACTAAGGCAGACCAGTGTCTGTGAGTTCAAGGTCAGCCTGTATTCCAAGAGAGCCAGAGCTACACAGTGAGACCCTGTCTGAAACAAAACAAAAAGAATAAGAAAAAAGCCTTCAATACATGGGCCAGAGAAAGGCCTCACCCTCTAAGAGCACTTGCTCTTCTTCCAGAGTGTTTGGTTACCAGCACCTACAATGCAGCTCACAACCATAACTTCAGTTCCAGGCAATGTAGCACCCTTCTGGCCTCCAAGAGCACCAGGCATGCACTCAGTACACTTACATACATGCAAGAAGAGCGCTCATACACATAATAAAATACAAATTTAAAAAAAAACCTTTTATAATACAGATGAAAGCAGCAAACTGTGCAGGCTGCAGAAGGAAAGGGTGGACCAAATGAAGCTACACTAGACTCGGCCATAGCAACAGAAAGCACTAGTCTGTAAGTTCCCTACCAAACCAGATGACCTCAAATGCCCCAAATTTTAGATTCAATAGTTAAGAGTGATTTCAAAAATAGTTCACACACATAGAAAAAAAGGGCAAAAATTCCCAAACTTACCTTATGCAATTTCCAAATCTGTACTTTCTTCAAAACTCAGATGATCCCCATATAACCCAATATTCAAATAAATAGAAGGAAAAAATGCCCAGGCACAGCAAGTACTGAATGTCTTCTGCAATGTGGGTCTGCAGTAGGAAAAACCCTGTCTGGTTGAGAGGAAGAAGCTACACACTATTCTACCGTACAGAAAGCTCTAAACTGCTCAGGATGAGACTCAAATCAATAGTGAGCATAAAAGTCAAATGCTTTACCTGTTGGCTAGATCACACACACCTCCTGGGGTATCAGTTTCTCTTCCACTACCATTTTCTTGGTTATGTTCTTTATGTGTATCTAAGGAAGTGCAAAAATTATTTTTTAGTTATGTTTGTGTGTGCTAATATTTAAGGACCTCTAGAAATGGTACAACACCTATACTTTCCCCCTGAAACCAAGGTTCAAACGCAAGTTTTGTTAATGTTACATAGCTGCTCTATCATTGAGCTTCATGCCCAATTGTTTAGAATAGCTTCTAAATGAAAAAAAAAAAAAAACCAGAAGGCTATTATAAACACGAGTAAGGAGCCAAGGGGATAGCTCAGTGGGTAAAACAACTTGCCATACAAACTGAATACTTGGTTCAACCCCCAGAGCCCAAGGCATAGTGTATCTACAACCCCAGGACCCCTGCAGGAGACAGAGATACAGAAACTGGGGAACTGCAGGTCAACTGGCCTTGCAGAATTATAGAAAAGCAACAAGAGACCCTGCCCCATACTTACACACCCACAGCCACCACACAAGCAAGTTTTTTTGTAAACCTATCTAAGGCCAGTAAGGCTTAGCAGCTAAGGGCACATGCCACCAATCCTGACAAACTGAATTAGCTTCCCTACACCCACATGAGGAGAAAACTAACTCCCACAAGTTGGATGCTGGTTTCCACATGCACTTTGCAGTGAGCATGCATACACAAAATATTTGGGGGAAAAAAAACCCAACAAATTGTTAAGACAAAGTAATAAAGAAGTAATAGATTGCCTAGTAGCAGGCTTTTATAAAAAGAATGATGGCCGGGCGGTGGTGGTGCATGCCTTTGATCCCAGTACTCGGGAGGCAGAGCCAGGCGGATCTCTGTGAGTCTGAGACCAGCCTGGTCCACAAAGTGAAATTTAGGACAGCCTTCAAAGCTACACAGAGAAACCCTGTCTCGAAAAAAAAGAAAAAAGAATGATGTAGCCAGGCATGGTACTGTACTTCTACAAGCCCAGCACATGGAAGGTAAAGGCAGGAATTCAAGGCCAGCTTCCACTATAGTCTGAGGCCAGCTTGGGCTACAAAAAAAACCCGTCTTGAAACAAAAAAAAGGGGGTGCTAGATATGTTGTGCATGGCCCTGAGTTTGATCATCAGCACCAAACTCAGTTATATAATCATGTTTCATTTTTAAGTGAATAAATCATGTGCTAATATAAGCAAGCAAAAACAAAAGGTACTTACCATATTTCGATCATTTATGACGTCACTCAGCCTACACATTTTTTCACCATCCTAGCATTAAACAACTATGTCACTACCACACTAACACAGCAAAGAAACAGAATGTAGAGACTTTGACACCAAGCAGTTAGTCTAGGAGAGTGGTGACTGAAGTGCTCTGTTCTACTGCTACAGTAGTATGCCAGAAGTGTGTAAGAAAGCAGAGGATATACACCAGTCCCAGAGAAAGAGCAGAAAGAAGACATACAAGCACCAAGAGGGTAGGGTACAGATTTCATTTGCAAGAGCATGGGCCATGGCTTATGGTACTGAAGAGGAGATAAACACCACTGAGACATGGCAGGAAAGGAGACTGGCAAATCAAGCCATGGCTATATTACAGATGTGAGATTCCAGGGGCCCCTCCTTTTTCAACACATTAACACCTAAGAGTCTTTCCATACTTGAACATTTAACCAAAGTGTCACTACATAAGCCAATGCAAATGCTATGTAAAGATTTTTCCTTCATCTTATGGTAGTATTTTGTTTTTCAAGACAGAGTTTCTGTGTAGCCCTGGCTGTCCTGAAACTCACTCTGTGGACCAGGTTGGCCTCAAACTCAGAGATCCCCTGCTTCTGCTTCATAAGTGCTAGGATTAAAGGTGTGCACTACCACTGCCAGGCTCCACCTCAACCTTTTCAAAACCCTCTGCACCTGATTATAACGGAATCACAAAACATTCCCCAAATGAGAAGAAACACAAATATCACAAAACTAGTAGAAAACCATAAAAACAAACAAATTACTACACACCACTATAAATATCAACTGTTGCTGGTAGGCAGAGCTGAAACTCATCTTTCTGGCAAATAAAGAAGTTTATAACCAAGAGGTGGTGGCTCACACTCATAATCCCAGCACTTAGAAAGCCGAGTTCAGGACTGGAGAAATGGCTCAGTGGTTAAGAGCACTGGCTACTCTTCCAGTGAACCTGGGTTCAATTTCCAGCAACCACATGGCAGCTCACAACTGACTGTAACTCCAGTTCTAGGGCTTCTGACACCCTCACATGGACAAACAGGCAAGCAAAATACCAATGCACATAAATAAAAAGAAATCATTTTAAAAAGAAAGAGCCAGGCGGTGGTGGCGCACGCCTTTAATCCCAGCACTCGGGAGGCAGAGCCAGGCGGATCTCTGTGAGTTTGAGGCCAGCCTGGGCTACCAAGTGAGTCCCAGGAAAGGCGCAAAGCTACACAGAGAAACCCTGTCTCGAAAAACCAAAAAAAAAAAAGAAAGAAAGAAGAGAAGGCTGAGCTCAAGATTAGCTTATGCTACAGAGAGTTCCAGGCCAACATGGACTCAGAGACCCACCAAAGGTTGCAAACAAATATTGCAATAAGAAGTAAACAACTGGCAGGGCGGTGGTGGCGCACACCGTTAATCCCAGCACTCAGGAGGAAGAGGCAGGTGGATCTCTATAAATTCCAGGCCACCCTGGTCTACAGAGTGAGTTCCAGGACAGCCAGGGCTACTACACAAAGAAACCCTGGCTGGAAGAAGAAGAGAGAAGAGAGAAGAGAGAAGAGAGAAGAGAGGAGAAGAAGAAGAAGAAGAAGAAGAAGAAGAAGAAGAAGAAGAAGAAGAAGAAGAAGAAGAAGAAGAAGAAGAAGATTTGTATATATAAACAAGAATTTAACAGAGATGAACGACAGAATTAGATGTTCTAGCCACAAGTGATGGCACATACCTGTAATTTTAGCATTTGGGAAACTGAGGCACGAGAATCCCAAGTTTGAGGCTGGCCTGGTATGCAAGTTAGACACTGCCTAAAATAAAATGAGTAACAACAATGACAAAACAGAATCCTAATAGGATTTTTCTGTGGGTTGAAAGAAAATGACCCCCAAAGGGAGTGGCACTATTAGGAGGTGTGGCTTTGTTGGAATAGGTATGGTCCTGATGGAGGAAGTGTGTCACTGTGGAGAAGGGCTTTGAGATCTTATATATACTCAAGTTATGCCCAGTGTCTCAGACCACTTCCTGTTGTCTGATGCCAGAGATGTAGGACTCTCAGCTCCATCACCATGTCTGCCTGCATGCCTCCATGTCCCACCATAATAATGGACTAAACCTCTGAAACTGCAAGCCACCCCATTAACTGTTTCCTTTATAAGAGTTGCCATGGTCATGGTGCCTCTTTACAGCAATAGAAACCCTACCTAAGACAGAGTTCCAGAAGGAAAGGATTTAAAAATGAAAGACGAAGATAGAGATGGCTCAGCAGTTAAAAGTGCTTATTGCTGCAAGACATCTGATTACACTGTGTAAAGATTTGTCACTCTGATTGGTCTAATAAAAAGCAGAACAGCCAATAGCTAGGCAGGAATTCCAGGCACAGAGGATGCTATGAAGAAGGGCAGAGATGTAGAGAGACAGAGAACAAACAAGACATGCAGGAGAGGAAACAGCCACGAGGCATGTGGCAGCACATAGATGAATAGACATGGGTTAATTTGAGTATGAGAACTAGTGCTATTGGCCAGGCTTTCATAATAATAAGTCTCTGTGTCATTATTGGGGAGCCAATGGTCCAGTCCCAACAAAAAAAAGTCCAACTACAGCTTATTGCTCTTACAGGACCAGAGTTTGGCTCCCAGCACCCACATGAGGCAGCTCAAAAATGTCTTAACTCTAGCTCTGAAGTATTCGACACCTCTTCTGTCCTCCATGGGCACCCTCATACACATGTTCGCACACACACAAACACACATATATAAAATGTTTAAAAATTAAAGACATGTGATATTAGAAAAGACATAGGAAAACAAATTCTCGAACGTGGAAAATAATGAGCTGCTAGAAAACACACATACACAACCCAAACAGATAAAAACAAACCTACATTTAAGCATGTCCCAACAAACCTGCATAATATGAAAAGTCCTATAAGCAACCAGAAATTATAACCTAACTGTACAAATGAATGACAATGAGACAGACGGTCAATATGTCAGAGAGAACAGAAGGCAGGAAACCAGACTTTACCATTAAAGTCTGAGATGATTTGTCACAGCATTCAGTACTGAGTAAATGCCAGGTTTGCTGTCTCACATCTTTAATCCCAACCCTCAGATAGGCTCAAGCATTCATGTTTTGCAAATGATAGGGTTCTATCCTTTTTTCATGACATTTTTGTCACCAAAATTTTATGCTATATACATTTCACAGTAAAAATAACTGAAGAGCAGGCAAGATGGCTCAGTGGTAAAGGCACTTTACCACCAAGCCTGATTATCTGAGTTTGCTCCTAGGATCTTACATGGTAAAAAGAGAGAACCCAGTTGTACTATTATATACAATGAGAAATAAACCAAGTGCACACTTGTACTCCCTGCACTCAGGACAGAGGCAGGAGGACAGCTCCAAGTTCCAAGCCAGCCTGGTCCACACAGTACATTCTAAGTCAGTCAATGCTTTACAATTTACTTTCTTTAAAAGGGACTACGGGGAGCTTACCAACCTGGAAGTGAAGCAGGATACTTTAAAAGGACACTCTTTGCATATACTTCCTCTGACACAGGATCAAACGAAAGGGGAGACATGGGAGGCAAAAGATCCACAGCCTTGAAATACAGAATTCACAATAATAAAGTAAATACTCACAAACAACCACAATGACAAAGCTAAGTTCATCTATGAATGGATTGTTTTCCCCTAACAATGAATTACCAAACATTTATCCTGTGACTATTGTATTTCTTTATTGTTATGTGTATGGACGTTTTGCCTACATGTACATGTACTATCTGTGTGCCTGGTGCCCACGGAGGCCAGAAGAGGGTATCAGATACCCTAAGATTGGAGGTTTAGCTGGTTATGAGCCACCAAGTGGGTGCTAGGACTCAAATCTGGGTCCTCTGCAAGAGCAGCCAGTGGGCTTAACTGATGAGCCATCTCTCCCGGCCCTGCAAACATTATTTTTTTAAATCAAGGAATATAATATTTGTATAAAAAGTTTCAAATTTTATTTAATAGTATTTTTAACCCTCTGATTTTAAAATGAGTAACTATAAATGATAGTAGCTTGATGAAAAACTATTATATATTTAGGAAATTTATAGAAATTAATTAAAACATTTGAACTGCATAGCAGCACACACCTATAATTCTAGTATGTAGACAGCTTAGGCTCCATGTGTTCCAGATCAGCCTGGGACACATATCTACACAACAGGTACCTGTGTCTGAAAACCCAGAGCCAAGCATGGTGGTGCAAGCTTATAATTCTAGCATTTGAGAGCAGATGCAGGAGGATCAAGCAGGTCATTTTCATCAAGAGCTACACAGCAAGTTGAAGGCTAACCTGCAATACATGAAACTATCTCACACAAAACAGCTTGAGCTGATGATGGCTCAGCAGGTAAACGCACTTGCCAGGAAGCCTGAGAGTCTGAGTTAAATTCCAGGAACACAGGGGAAAGAGATGGATAGAACTGACTCCATAAATCAGCCTGTGCCCTCAAACATACAATGATTGAAAAAAAAAAAAAAACCCTGACTTCAATGTAAACACAATAAATACACGCATACACACAAATTTCTAGGTTACTGTAACATTATAAATTAAAAGACTGTTAAAACTTAAAGACAGAATTGCCAAAATTAAACTCTTCTCCAAACACAAGTCTACAGTACTTACTGAAGCCCCGCCTTTAACTAGACTGAAAGGAGACAGACCAAGAAATCCTTCCCACTTCTTATGCCATTTTCCTTCCTTTTCAACGGTAGAATGTCTTATTGCAGTGACGTTCTCTTTTAGTTTATGCCTATGATATCATAAGAAATAACTGTATTTGAAGGACAAATAAAAATACAGCATAGTTTAAGACAATAGTACTAGAGCAGAAAAGAATATAAAACAAAGATTAAACATTAAACTACATAGAAACTGAATTAACTTCAAATACAATTTTTCTCCTTTTAAAACAAAAAAGCAATCATACATCTACTACTCTAAAAACAAGCTTTTGAGACAGAGTCACATACAGTACAAGCTGGCCTAGGATATTTAGCAGAAAATGGTCTTGCACTCCACACCCTCCTCCCAAGTGCTGGGATTACAAGCTTTTGCCACAAGGTATAGACCCTGTCTCCCTCAGCCCCCACCCCTCACCCTAATATTCACTCTGAATTCCACTCCTACTCGATCAACTCCTAAAAGGAGACCAAGCTCATGGTCTCCCTATTCAAATGAGAATCTTTTCTCATGTTCAGTTTTCAGGGGAATCTCACTATATAGAGAAGGTTGGACCCAAACTCACAATCCTTGTGCCTCAACCTCCCAACTACTAGGATTACAGGCGTGTACCGCCATGTATGAGCTCAAGGTTAACCTGTTCTACATAGTTGAGTTCCAGCCAGCCAGGCCTACAAAGTGAGACTCTGTCTCAAAAACAAAAAGAATTATCATAAGGCAAATAATTTATTCCAAAAAAGATAAAAACTATATTACTTGTCCTTTTACCTCACATGTCTCTCTGGAAATTCATTCCATATAAGACTCTTAAATACCAGTATTTCTGAGCTTATTTGCCAAAGCTGAAGAATTATACACAACTTCTGCTGGGAAAACCACCCTATCCACCCGATAGTAACATAACAAAAGATCGTTCTGTATACCTCATATGCTTCATATCTGATAATCTTTCCCTCTGAAATTTGGTTTCTTTTTCAAGGTACTGAAGGTCTATTGTCAGTCTTGCTTGGCCAGCCTTACAATGTTCACATTTCATTACTTTCAAGACTTCATTTAACAACTGAATAATTGTTAAAAGGTTCAATTTTCCAGCCTCATAAACATTTCCCATCTGCAACTAAAGATTCAGAAGGAGAAAAAAAAAGCAAAACCTGTAGGTTCTTATGGTAATAAACTGTCACATACTTATGCTTTTCACTATTATAACATTAGTTTAAGAAATAAATCAAATACCACCAAACATAAAACTATATAATTTCAATCCAATGAAAACTATCAAAGAATTCACACATCCTTTTTCTATTATGCAAAAAGCTAAAAGAAAATAAATACAAATAGATGGAAAGAAAAATAGAGGGGCTGGAGAGACGGCTCAGCAGTAAAGAGCTCTTGGTGCTCTAGCAGGACTGAGTTCAGTTCCCAGCACCTTACAACTGTCTCTCCTTCAAGTTTGTCCTGGGAAACCAGATGCCTCCCTCTTCTGGCATTTTTGGGCACCAAGTGTACATGCAGTGTACACACACACACACACACACCAGAGGCAAACACTCATTCCCATAAAAAGTAAAACAAATCAACCTTTTTTTTAAAAGCCTAAAGAGAAAAAGCAGATTTGCAAAAAAGATCACAATTTCTTTTATTCTTTGAGACGGGTTCTTACTAGGTAGCCCAGCTGGGCTAGAACTTACTATGTCAACCAGGCTGGCCTTGTACTAAAGAGATCTGCCTATCTCTGCCTTCCAATTTATTTTTTAAGAAAAGTTGCAAGTGCCATCCAGCCTAGCTTACTTGGTGAGTTGCAGGTCACGAAGAGAACCTGTCTCAAAAGAAAAAGGTGGATCAGCACCTGGAAAACAAGACAAGACACCTGAACTGTCCTCCAGCCTCCACGTGCTCCTGTACCTGAGAACACCCACCCACACACACACACACACACACACACACACACAGAAGTGCACGCACACACACAAGAGGAAAAAAAGAAACAAATCAGGGCGCTAGAGAGAGAATTCAGTCCTCATAGTGTTTGCCATCCGAGCATGAGGCCCCCTTTCCCAGAAAAAAGGTGGGTATGGTGGCAACTACTTGTAATCCCAGCACTGGCCAAATGAAGACAGGAGCATCCCTAGAACTCACTGGCCAGCCACCCCACCCTAATCAGTGAGCTCTGGTCCCAGTGTGAGACCCTGTCTCCAAAACCAAGGTGGAAGCCAGGCATGGTGTTACAAGCCTTTAATCCCAGCACTCAGGAAGCAGAGGCAGGTGGATCTCTGGGAGTTCAAGGCCAGCCTGGTATGACTTCTAAGCTAACCAGAGCTACACAATAAGACCCTATCTCAAAAAAAAAAAAAAAAACTAAAACAACAAAAAAGTTAATAGTGATTTTTCTCTAAAGACATCACTACTTCCTTCCTTATCTGTATTCTTCAGCTTAACTAATGTCTTTTCTGATACCTGCCTACACTCTATAGGAATCTGAATTTATACGTCTTGAGTGTTACATACTATTAATTTGATGCACATATATGCATCCTAAAGTGAAATCTCTTTACAAAATATTTTATCTATATAACTTCTATGTACTACAATCAATACTGCATAGGTAGGAGGTACTAAATAAACTGTATTTACTAAGGAAAAAATAAGTAAGCCACACAATTAAAATGTCCCATACGAAGACAGAAATACACAGATGGTAGGTGGTGCTTTGGCTAAAGAAGAAAGACTAGAAATACCAGTTTAGTAATATCATATAGGGACCAGATGTTGTGATGCATGTATTTAATCCTAGCATTCAGGAAGCAGAGGTAAGTGGATCTCTATGAGTTCATATATTCAAGGCCAACCTGGTCTACAATGCTAGTTCCAGGCCAGTCAGAAACACAAATGAGACCCTGTTTGGAAAAAAACAAAAATAAAATTATTGATAGGAAGGAAGCTGTTGAAGCCATGGCACTGTTAAGAAAACGTAGGTAAATGACAGTGACAGAAAGAAAACTGGGCATAAAATATATACATAAATGGGGAGGACCAGGCATGGTGGTGTTTATCTTTAATTCCAACATTCAGGAGGCAGGCAGATCTCTATGAGTTCGAGGCTAGAATGGTCTACATAGCAAGTTCCAGGATAGGCAGGACTACATAGAGACTCTATCTCAAAACAACAACAAAAAAACACAAAAACAATAAGGAACCTGCCCTCCCTCTTAGAATTTAGATGGGGGAGGGGACCAATAGTGTGAAAACCCACAGGAAAACAGATAAGGGAAGAGAAGCAATTTGGGTGTAATCTCTCCCATGGCTTGTTTTCCAAAGTACTGAAGAACAAAATCCTTCTAAGGCTTGTAAAGAAACTCAGCAAAGCTTGTGAATGAAAACAGTTCCTAAGTCACATTCTGGTTAAAAACAGAGATGAGTTTAAGAGAAAAAAGAAATAGCCAGAGCATACAGAATTTATAAAATGCCATCTGGAAGCCAAGCATGGCGGTGTACACCTTTAATCCTAGCACTTGGAAGACCTGGTCTACAAATCCAGTTCCAGGCCTGCCAGAGCTACATAGCAGATCCTGTCTTAACAAGGACAAAGAGACACAAGGAGAGCTGGGCTTGGTGAGGCCCACAATCCCAGCTGAGGAGGCTGAGCAAGGGGGAAATTTATAAACTAATTCAGAGGGAGTTAAATGGCTCAGTGGATAAAGACACTTGCCACAAAGCCTGAGTTCAACCCCAGGATAAACATGAAGAAGAGAATAGACTCCCATAAATTGTCCTCTGACCTCCAAATACACACCATGGCTTGTGTGCATTCATACATGTGTATACACACACACACACACACACACACACACACACACACACACACAAATAAAGTATAAAGAACCAAAACAGTACTATCTTCAAACTATGCCATCTTCAGTTCTCTATACTACACAAAACTGTACAAAGGAGAGAGAACAAAAGTAAATGAATGCAAACGCACACACCTTTGACAGGACCCTCTGACAGCCTTACCAGAGACAATAAAGAACACAAATGCTGGCAGCAGGAGAAATCGCTGAGTTGACAGGAAGTGTAAGAAGCAGTGACCTTGTTTTAACACATTTCCTTAACAGCAAAGCTTACCTGACATATCTGCTCCTCGATTCTGTCAAGTAAGAGCCTTGGAATATTAACAGCAACATTAGTTCCATCCAAAGCATACTGGGTAACATGACTAAAGACTGAACTAACAACTTCTTTCTCCTTTTCCAAAAACACAGGAATCTCATTCACAGAAGTCCACAAAGACCGAACCTTTGAAAACAAAACAAAATATAAAATCCACACGTAACATATATGTACTCTAAGAAAGTGTTGGCATAAATGTGTTCACCCCTACTAACCAAAGAAACATATCGAAAAGAAAATTAAGTGACTGCAATCTAACTGTTTAAAGTACTGATATTATCTCCAAAGGGGCTTGAAAAAAATGTTTTTCTTGATTTTTTTTTCCCCCGTCTTGGGAAGAAGGGACTTGAGACAGGGTCTCACTACATAATTTTGGCTGGCAAAGAACTGGCTTAGACCACACTAGCCTCCAACTCGGAGAGCAGTCTGCGTCTAGTGCTACGATTAAAGACTTGTGCCACCACAGCTGACCTGAAGAATTTCCTAGGGAAAATATAGCTTATATAATTTTCAACAAATTTAAGAAATCTTTATACTACCATTCAAGAATTGTATTCCATATGGCAAGCTCAAAAATGAAGAAAACAAATGCCAGGGGTGTGGTTGCACGTGCCTTTTAAGGCACTCAGGAGGGAGAGGCAGACGGATCTCTATGAGATCTAGGCCAGTCAGATCTACATACTGACTTCCAGGACAGCTATGTATCCAGACCCTATCTCAAAAAAAAAGAAAAGAGGCCGGGCGGTGGTGGCGCACGCCTTTAATCCCAGCACTCGGGAGGCAGAGCCAGGCGGATCTCTGTGAGTTCGAGGCCAGCCTGGGCTACCAAGTGAGTACCAGGAAAGGTGCAAAGCTACACAGAGAAACCCTGTCTCGAAAAACCAAAAAAAAAAAAAAAAAAAAAAGAAAAGAAATGCAAGATGAAGTAAATAAGCAGAAGTCAGTCAGAAAACATTCACAGAAGCAAGTGAGAAACAGTCACAGCCTTTTCACAGTGAAGTTAAGCAAGTGTAAACATACGAACTTAGTTTCCTTTGAAAGCAATAAGGTCTTTTTTTAAATAATAATTTTCCTATTTTTTTAAATAATAATTTTCCTATTTATTTTAAGATTTATTTATTTATTATGTATACAGTATGCATGACTGCAGGCCAGAAGAGGGCACCAGATCTCATTACAGATGGTTGTGAGCCACCATGTGGTTGCTGGGAATTGAACTCAGGACCTCTGGAAGAGCAGTCAGTGCTCTTAACCTCTGAGCCATCTCTCCAGCCCCTAATTTTCCTATTTTTTTAAATAATAATTTTCCTATTTTTTAACATTTGACGACGACGACGACGATGATGATGATGATGATGATGTGTCTGAGTGTTTTGCCTGCACGTATGTTTGTGTACCAGATTCACCCACTGCTAGCTAAGGCCAGAAAAGGACATCCAATCTCCTGGGACTGGAGTTAAAGGTGATTAGGAGGGGCTCTATGGGTGCTAGAAGCTGAACCTGGGTCCTCCAGAAAAGCAGTGCTCTTAACCTCTGAGCCATCTCTCCTGCTCTTTCTTTTTTTTTTTGGTTTTTGAGACAGAGTTTCTCTGTGTAGGTTTGCGCCTTTCCTGGAACTCCCTTGGTAGCCCAGGCTGGCCTTGAACTCACAGAGATCCACCTGGCTCTGCCTCCCGAGTGCTGGGATTAAAGGCGTGCGCCACCACCGCCCGGCCTCTCCTGCTCTTTCTTATGTTCTTTAAAGTAACACTTTGCCCTCATATGCTAAAGATTCATTATAGAAAACTTAGAAAATTTAGAAAACATAACCTTTCTACCAATACCCTATTATTAACATTTTGTTATCTCCCATGTGTGTTTAAAATTACATTTTTAAACAAAACTAAAGTTGTTTTATATATGTATGTTCTTTGTCACTGCTTCTCACTTGGAATTATATTGTCATGTTTCTGAAATACACTGATCTAGAAAAATGCTACCATTAATACCCTATAGACTTTTACAATGAACAGACCCTCTGTTATTTAAAAAAATGTAGCTCACCTTTTGAATTTTCTCTTGTATATTACTCTGGTCATCACAGGGGTCCAGTCTAATAAAAAAATTAAACAACTGAATTACTCATAAAAAATTCACATCCAAGAAACCAATTGGTCTGCAAATCTACAAACAAGCATTTCAATTAAAAATAATAATGATGACGATGATGATAATAATAATAATGAAGCTCTCAGCTGGGTGCTGTGGTACATACCTTTAATCCTAATGCTCAGTAGGCAGAGGCAGACAGATCTCTGAGTTCAAGGCTAGCCTGATCTATATAAAGTCCCAGACCAGACAGGGCTACAAACATTGTGAGATTCTATCTCAAAAACAAATACAAAAAGAACTCAACCTCAAAGCAAAAATAATTTCTAAGAACTTTATTAAAAGTGAGAAAAAACATGCTCTAGTCCTGGCATCAACTAGCTAACAGCAGATTATTCTGTTTCTATTTTCAGTAGTTTCATCACTCGTAAAATTCAAGATCTAAACTTTGCGTGAGGTAAATTCCAGTTCTAAAAGTCACTTGCCTTTTAATTTGGTTTTGTAGGACCATGCATTCCGATCTCAAATTTCGTACTTGCTTAACACACAGACTGCAAGAAAAAACAGAAAAGAGCATTTCCGTTATAATGAACAGGTATGGCCCACTTGTTTATTTTCTCTTTTTGTAATGTTTTAATAGTAAAAATTAAAGGGACCGGCAAGATGATTCAATGGGGAAAAGCACTTGCCTCCAAGCCTGACATCCTGAGTTCGATCCCCAGAACATACAACAGAGGTGAGACTCAACTTTCAAAAGCTGTCCTCTGACTTCCTCTTGCACAATATGGAGTGTACACACAGACATGTTTATTTTTACATGTAAAAGTAAAGAGACAAACTATTCTGTGACAGTCTTGCCTGTCTCATTTTATGCTCTGACACCAGTGCACACAGAAAAAAAAGATTCGTTGAGCAGATAAACATATATAAATACTATAAACTAGAGTGTGCCACATGCCTGTAATCTAATCCTCCAGATGTAGAAGAGGAACACAGTTCAGTGCTAGCCTGGTCTACACGGCAAGGTCCAAGTCAACCAGGACTTCATGTTGATACCCTCTCAAATAACAACAAATAAATAAACAGATAAATAAACAAACAAATAAATACGGTGGTCTACTACAGAATGACTAATATGGAGTACTTGTTGAGAGGTATAAAATATCTATTCAAACTATGAAATAAACATTATAAATACATAACGGAAACATGGAAAAGTTTACAGAATGAATAGCACAATTAGAACTCAAAATTACAACTCGAGGACCAAAGAGATGGCTAAGCAATTGAGAGCACTCGCTGCCTTCAAGGACTCTGGTTCAATTCCTAGGACTCATACGGTGGCTCACAACTGTCTGTAACTCCATTTCCAAGGAGAACAAACAACCTCTTCTGGCCTCTGTGGGCACCAGGAACCTGTGATGTACAGACATGTGCAGGCAAAGCACCCAAACACATAAAAAAATAATAATAATTTTAAAAACTGTATAATTAAAATTCAATATTAATAGCCAAGAATTTGAAGTAGGCATAGGGTCTAGGCTTGTTTATATTGGTATTTATTTAAAAAGAAAACTATTTTCTAACTTTAAAATATTACTTACTGTGCATTTTCCTGGTATTTCTGGGTAACATAATGTTCTCTTTGCAAAATTTGTAAAAATCTGTTACGTGCTACATGGCTTCTGGCAATGCACTTATGCATATCTTGTGACTTTACATTAAATGTTTCTGCAAAACGTTGAGAATCTATATGGAAGACAAGATCAGACAGCATCACCATGAGCTCATCTTTCCAGTAAGACAAATAGGAGAAAAATAAAATAAAATAAAATAAAACCTGTGCCATTTTTTAAGCAACTCTTCACTTTGTTACTGATGACCAATGAAGAACTAATACAAACATATCAAGTCAGGTATTTATTTATTTGATTTTTATAAACCAATGAATTAAAAAATTTTGAAATAAAAATTATCAACCAATGCCAGTAATGGAACTAAACTTCTAACAATAGTCACCACACTGGATTAGATGCCTGATTTGTCTCAGTAGCTATTTCTAAGCCAAGCAAGATAAGAACGGATTTCTACAATTTTTTTAAAGGCATGTTCTCATTAGGTAATGTATGTTTGCCTGGAACTTGCTATATAGCACAGGTTCAACTTCCTAGTGCTAAGATTATACGCACGTGCCACCATGCTGGCAGTTTCTGTATTTCTAAAGCGTTGTAAAAACAAAACAAAATCATGTGGTCATAAAGCCTAAAATACTGATCTAACCCTCCTATGGAAAATGTACCCCAATCACTGCACCAGAACATAATAAAGTAACACAAATATTAACAGGCTCATTATGAGGTTTCCAAGCATAGATGAGTAAAATATTAACCATTTGCTTTTTCAAGCAAATGAATGGTTTAACTCAACTTGATCTTGATTTTAAAATTATGAACAATAACAATTCAAGAAAAAACAAAATAAAGTATAAGTAAACTTACCATAAGATTTTGTTTTAATATATTTGATCGCAACATATCTTGCAAAATGATACATCAGATGAATAAACTTAGGACCACCAGGAGAGAGAAACAGTGAGCCAACAACTTGAGGAAAACTACTCCCACATTCAGCCTAAGAGAAGACATGAAACGATTCAACCAACAATAACTACCACATTTTTAATCACTATTTTCTTTTAATTTTATTATTTTATTTGTATGGGAGTTTTGCCTGCATGTATGTTTATGTACCAGGTACATGCACTGGGAGCTAAGGCCAGAAGAGGGCATCAAATGCCCTAGAACTGGAGTTTACTGGAACAGGTGCTTGTGAGCTGCCATGGAGGTGCTGAGAATCCTCTGGAAGAGCAGCCAGAGCTCTCAACCACTGAGCCATCCCTCCAGCCCCATCACTCTGATTTTTTAAAGGGTGTGTGATGATCTTGCAGTGGAGGCCACACATGAGCTCCTCACTGTAGGACAGTAAACCATCAACATTCCCCCTTCATAGCACAGTGGCTTACAAAGATCAATTTCCATAGTGGAATACAGAACAGTCAGAAAACATAAAGGTTCAACCAGCTACTACCCCCAGCCCACTCTCCTACCACTTTTAAAAACCTAAGAAAGCCAGGTACAGTGTTATACACATAATTCCAGTGTTAGGGACTTTATTTTATGAGCTGAAGATCAGCCTGATCTACCTATCAGTTCCAGGCCAGCCAGAGCTACATAGGAAACCTCTCTCTTTAAAGAAAAAAAGAAAAGATTTCACTTTGGGGGTGCTGTGGGATGTCTTTCTGTATGCTGTGAATATGTGTTGCTCTGACTGGTTGATAAATAAAGCTGCATTGGCCTATGGCAAGGCAGCTTAGAGGCAGGCAGAAATCCAAGCAGACAGACAGGAAAAGAAAGGAAAGGCAGAGTCGCCAGCCTGCCACCCAAGGAACAACATGTCAGCAGATCAGTAAGCCATGGAACACGTGGCAAAACATGGATTAATAGAAATGGTTTAATTTAAGTTATAAGAGCTAGCTAGCAAGAAGCCTGCCATATGCCATGCAATTGGTAATTAATATAAGCCTCTGTGTGTTTACTTGGGTGTCAGTGGCTGTAGGACCACGGGTGAGAGATTTGTCTAGACAGTGGGGGGTGGGACCAGAGAAACCTTCTGACTTCATGGGGGCTAGGGAGATACCTCAGTAGATAAGAGACCAGAGTTAAAATTCCCAGAATCCAAAGAGAAGCCAGACAGACATAGCAGTTCCTGTAATCTCAGAACTCTGGAAGGCAGAAACAAGATTTACGGTGGCAAGCTGGCTAGCTAGACCAGCAATAACGGGCAAGCTCCAAGTTCAGCAAGAGAAGCAACTTTGGCCAGGCATGGTGGCACACACCTTTACTCCTAGCACCCAGAAGGCAGAGGCTAGCCTAGTCTACAGAGTAAGTTCCACGTCAGCCAGGACTACACAGAGAAATAAACAATAAAAGTACAATACAACAATCAAGTTAGACATCCAAAATCAACCTCTGGCCTACACAGACAGACAGACAGACAGACACAGACACACACACAGAGGCTTCATTTCACAAAAAGAATGATGTAGTTTAGTAGTCTGTCTTCTTGTTCTTGGTTTGGTTTTGATGGTTTTGTTGCAGTGCTGTTGATGGAACATGGGGCTTACACATGCTAGGCAAATGACCTACTACTGAGCTATATCCTCGGCCTTAAGGGATTTTTGTTGTTGTTGTTTATTTTTGTAAGACAGTCTCACTATGGTACTCTGGCTGGCCCGGAACCCACCGCGACGGCCACCATGGGTCCTCCTGCCTCTGCCTCTCAAGGCCTGGGATTACAGGCATGCCTGGACCTTCTTCAAGTGTGCACTTTCTACCTTACAAAGAAAATACTTACAGAAATCTCTTTTAACCATTCACAGCAATGTTTCCGGAATTCCGTGTCATGTTTTTGGTCAAATGGAGGCCAGCAATCTCTTAAAAACATAAAAGCAATAGACTAATGAGCCCTCCCAAAAATCAAACTTAGCAAAATTTAAAAGACATGAAATTTATTCCCCACAGTAGAAACATTAAGGCAAAATGAATTAAACCAGTATTCCTAGAATCAACTAAAAACACTATATGAGAAAATAGTTCTTTTTCTTAGGTCAATATTTGTAAGCTGAGTTCAGTTTATTATAAATAATTATATATTATTATAGAGATTTACCAAAAAATAGCAAGCCTTTAATCCTAGTACCAGGGAGGCAGAGGCATGTGGACCTCTGAGTTAAAATCTATATAGAGTACCAGGCCAGCCAGGAGTAATAGTGAGACCCTACCTATTAAAAAGAAAAAAATAATAACTTTACAATATACCTATTACTCCCTCGATAATCTTTTTTTTTTGTCCAATTATTTATTAGAGCATAAAAACTTATTTAAAGAATCAAGCTTTTAGCCCAATGTGGTAGTGCATGCCTTTAATCCCTGCAGTAGAGTACATGCCTAGCACAGGGCTGCAAATCCTATCCCTAGTAAAAAGGAAAAGAAAAAAAGTAACACAGGAGACAGGACTGAAGGCTGGAACATGAACAGTGATGTTCTCACTAGTGGGGTTTAGGAATGATGCTTATGTCTGTCTTTACATGTTCTAAAATACAGAATGAACCATGAAGTTTTTAATCAGAGGGAAAAAAATCAGAAAAAATTGCTTTTATTTGAAACCCCTAGTGGTGGTTGGAATAAGAATGGCCCCCATAGGCTCATATGTGATAGGATTAGAAGGGTTTAGCCAGATGCGGTGGTGCACGCCTTTAATTCCAGCACTTGAGGGGTAGAGGCAGGCAGATCTCTTTGAGTTAGGCCAACCTGTTTTACAAAGTGAGTTCCAGGACAGCCAGGGCTACACAGAGAAACCCTGTCTCAAAAAAATAAAAAATAAAAAAATAAAAAAAAAATGGGGGGTGTGGCCTTGGAGGAAGGCTGTCACTGGGGGTGGCCTTTGAGGTTTCACAAGCCCATGCCAGGCCCAGTTCTGTCTCTCTGTCTCTGTCTGTCTGTCTGTCTCCCCCTAGGGATCAGGATGTAGCTCTCAACTACTCCAGCACCACACCTGCCATGCCTGCCACTACGTTCCTCACCACGATAATGGACTAAGCCTTGGGAACTATAAGCAAGCCCCCCAGTTAAACGCTTTCTCTTATAAGACCTATCTTGGCCATAGTATCTCTTCACAACAATAGAACAGTAACTAAGACACCCCTATTATTTACAGTTGTACTATTATTATTATTTAGTTTATTTGAAATATTTTTTGAAGGCCAGCCTGGTCAACCTAATAGATTCCAGGTCAACCAGAGCCACATAATTGAGACTCTGGTCTCAAAAAAAAATAAATAAATAAAATAAGAATTTTTTTTATGTTTATTATGTGTATGGTTGTTTTGCCTGCATGTATGCACCACGTTCCATGCCTGGTGCCTTCAGAGACGGGAAAAGGGTGCTGGATTCCTTGGAACTGTAGATACAGATGGCTGTGAGCCAACATGTGAGTGTTGGGAATCAAACCCAGGTCCTCTGGAAGAGCAGCTAGATCTTAATCACAACCATCTCTCTAGTGCTCCCAGAATAAAAATAAGTGTGTACCAATCCATTAATTTTTAGGCCTAATTAAGACCATGAAGCTGATGTGGTGGCACACGCCTTAAATCCCAGCACTAGAGGTAGGTGGATCTCTATGTTAATGGCCAGCCTGGTCTACATAGCATACACAGTGAGTTCCAGGCTAGACAGAGTGACATAGTGAGACCATCTCAATCCTCACATCAGAAAAAGACCATTAAGAACAGCAGGAACAAATTTTAAACAACAAAATCTGTATTTATGAAATATACAGCTTTTTTTTTTTTTTTTTTTTTTTGGTTTTTCGAGACAGGGTTTCTCTGTGTAGCTTTGCGCCTTTCCTGGAACTCACTTGGTAGCCCAGACTGGCCTCGAACTCACAGAGATCCGCCTGGCTCTGCCTCCCGAGTGCTGGGCTTAAAGGCGTGCGCCACCACCGCCCGGCTGAAATATACAGTTTTTAAGATAAGCACACACACACACACACCCAAACCCCTCACTCAGCTACAAAAAAAAAAAAAAAAAAGGTTAAGCACTACATTTCTAAGGCTCACACCAGAATTTTATCACATTCATTTAAAACAAGATAATGGCTTACATAAAGAAAATAGTCTATTTTCAAATCTGAGAATAACTAAAAGAAGAACTAAATGAAATAATTTTTTCCTACCTGAAAACTTCTTTGGCAAGAGACTCATCCAGTGTTTGAAATAAAAAATAAGAAACTATATGAAAGGCATCACGGTTCAGCTTGTCAAACATGTTCCTAGTGGTTTAAAATGAGAAAGAAGCAAAGATAGATGATTAATAAAGCTGTACAGCATCAAAAACTGTCCAGACGTGGCACTCAAACTGGTATTTTTCATTCTCTTCAAGAGGTCAAGGCAAATTAATTTTTCTCATTCAGGTATACTTTATACTCCATTAAACACACACACACACACACACACACACAGTAAGCTGGAGAGATGGTTCAGCGGTTAAGAGCACAGACTGCTCTTCCAGAGGACTCGGGTTCAAGAGGATCATCACAAGCACATGGTCAGATGGGCGGAGTAAGAAAGACACTGTATCAAGAAACAAAACAAACTAGGGTAGTGGCTCATGTCTTTAGTCACAGCACTTGGAGGTAGGATCTTTGTGAGTTTTGAAGCCAGCCTGGTCTACATAGTGAGTTCCAGGACAGCCAGGGCTACATAATGAGAACCTGTCTGGGGAGGGGGGGGGACACATGACAGACAAAAAAGATAGATGGGGGCAACAGAAGATAACTAATGCATCCCAAGTTCTTCTTGCCCTTGGTGAAAAAGAAACTGCCTCCAGTCCTGTTTCTGGAAACTCCAAGCTGCAATACCCTATTAGGGTAGCATATGTGAATGTGAGGGTCCTGAAAAATGTAATAGTAAGTTTCTGAACATGCATCTGGTGATAAGCCAGAGGTGTTTCTGTGCTGCTTGCCCATGTTATATCATGCAATACCACCACTGCCTTGATTCCAAACAACAACATGCATGCACTCTGGACTGTGCAAGCCATCACTCAACCCCAGCAGCTACTTCAAACATCATGGTAGACTCAACACCACTGCATGTTGTACATGTTTTCACTATACAGTTCCCTGTTTTTACTGAGGCACAATAGTTTCATTATGGAATTCCTATTGTCATGCCTTAGCATGTTAAGCACCAAAAATAGTATGTCTTTGGACTAATGCTGAGACATGAGTGTTGAGACAGTCTCACTATGTAGCCATGGCTGGCCTCGACCCTGCAGCAACTATGCCTCCCAACCATTGGGATTATGGATTACAGATATGTACCACCACCTCTGATGGAATGCTTGATTTTAAAAAGTGCTGTCTGTGTTTCTGTGTTACTGTCTGGAATTTTATTAAAACACACACACACCGACCACTAAATGAACTTCCAGGATTCTAGTTCAATTCCCAGCACCCACACAGCAGCTCACAACTGTCTGTAACTCCAGTTGCAGGGGATCCGACACCTTCACACAGACATACACGAAAGCAAAACACCAATGCACATAAAAAATAGAAAGGAATCATTAAAAAAAAATTTAAAGGGGAAAGTGTCTGGAATCAGAATTCTAAGAAGCCCAGGTCTGAAGTTCACAAATTAAAAACAAAGTATTTTGTTTTGTGTCACAGCAATAACATAAGTGGCAAAAGAAAGGGTAGCTAGGGGCTTTAGATTTTTTTTTTGTTTTTTGTTTTTCGAGACAGGGTTTCTCTGTGTATCTTTGGAGCCTGTCCTGAAACTCACTGTAGCCCAAGGTGGCCTCGAACTCACAGAAATCTGCCTGCCTCTGCCTCCCGAGTGCTGGGATTAAAGGCGTGCGCCACCACCACCGGTCTGATTTTCATTTTAATATGTTTTGGGTTTTTTTTTTTTTTTTGTGTGTGTGTGTGTGTGTGTGTGTGTGTGTGTGTGTGTGTGTGTGTGTGTGTGTGTGTGTGTGTGTGTGTGTGTGTTGCTAGCTGTAGTAACACTGTAACATGTTTTGGTTCCCTGATTCGAAGTTAAACCCATAGTTAACTACTTGTAAGTCGTTTGCATGAGAGTTCCTCCGCGCCTCCCACCAGCTGCAGACCACAGAGGCAGGGTTGAGCTGTCCCCGCGGTACGGCCCCAACTGCAGGACACTCCTAAGGCGCTCCCCGCACCCCCTCCACTGGTGACGAACAGCCCCCGCCACAGGCCGGCAGCCGCGGGGATTTGCAGCCAATGACTAGCCACCCGGGACCGCGCCGCCGCCCCGGTCTCCTTACTCTCCAAGGCGTGCGTGAGACACCAACTTCCCGCCGACGGTGGTGCCAACGCTCGGATCCAAGCCCAGTGCCTGCAGGTACATCCAGAGATGCTGCTTCTCGAAATCCGCGTCCCAGGCCGAACTCATCCTCGCCGTAGGCACTGCGACGGCGACGGAGGAAAGCCGAGACCGCGGCGACCCCTGAAGACCCTTGCACTCCTCCTACAAGCCGCCCGGGGTGTCGGCAACCCCTCCGCTGCGGCCGCCCGCTACCTCCACGCGGAGAGCCATACCACCACAAAAGGCCAAACGCGCCCGGGAAACCAAGCCCGTGACTAGGGCGCTAGCCGCAAACCGAGACTCCCGCGCTTGCGGAAGAGTACACTGCGCCGGCGCCGGAGAACTTCCGGGACTGGGCTTCCTAAGAGGACTCTATCTCCCGCCATGCAATGCGCCCCCTGTCTCCCTCTGAGAAAACTACAAGACCCACAGAGCATTGCGTAGCCAGAGACTGGCTCCAGGGTCCGGGAACAGCTGTTTTGCTGACACCGCGAGGCATGGGTTCCGGATTCTTCGAGTTTTATTTTAGGTTCTGGTTGCTCCGGATGTGATTGTTTTTAGTTCGGTAAAAGCTACACTGTAGCCCCTTGTGAGTAACACGGGTGTATGGCCCTGAACAAGTCACCTTTTCCTTTGGGTTTTTTGGCTGGTCTTTTGAGACAGGGTTCTCTGTGTAGCCCTTGCTATCCTGGAACTAGGCACTAGCCTGTAAAGTAGGCTGGCCTCGAACTGACGGACATCCGCGTGCCTCTGCCTCCCGAGTGCTGGGATTAAAGGCGTACGCCACCACCACCCTGCCTTTTACCTTTTTTTTTTTTTTTTTTTTTTTTGGTTTTTCCGAGACAGGGTTTCTCTGTGTAGCTTTGCGCCTTTCCTGGCTCTCGCTCTCTAGACCAGGCTGGCCTCGAACTCACAGAGATCCGCCTGCCTCTGCCTCCCCAGTGCTGGGATTAAAGGCATGCGCCATCACCGCCCGGCACTAGCTAACTCTTACATTTTAAATTAACCCACAATTCTTGTCTATGCTTTGCCACATGGCTTGGTACCTTTTCTCAGTATGGCATGTCCATCTCTGTGTCTCTGCATCTGCTTGCTTGCGGCTCCTCTGACTCTGCCCTTCTTCCTCCCAGCATTCTCAGTTTGGCTCTCCTGCCTAACTTTGTTCTGTTCAGCTATTTGCCAGTCAGCTTCTTTATTAAACCAATCACAGTGACATATATTCACCCAGTGTAAAGGAATATTCCACAGGCCACCTCTAGAATAAGAGAAAGCATAAAGCTTTGACGGTCTGACCCACTGAGACCTCCAAAGACATGAGTATGCTGTAACCAAAGGAAGAGTGTCCTAAGAAACAAAAATTAGCAAATGTTCAGTTAAAAAAAAAACTCTCTGATCAAGGATTATACTTCCAAATTTTTATATTTTTATTGTGTGTGTGTGTGTGTGTGTGTGTGTGTGTGTGTGTAGGACAATTTGAGGGAGTCAATTTTCTCCTTTGTCATATGGGTCCTAAAGGGTCAAACTCAGATCATCAGGCTTGGCAGCAAACACATTTACCCACCAAGCCATCTCACAGGTCTACAGCCCAATTTTATTATAGTCATTTCAGTAATTAAGCATTAAAGAATTATATAAAATGATATGATGCTGAACAAGATCTCTTACAAAAGTTCATGTCATTTACAATTAAGATCAAACAGCCAAGAAAAAGCAGATTAACATTCCCCAAAGCCACAGGAATAAACACAGGTGTAAATATAAAAAACTGATACATAATACATTTTCAACAAAAGAGAGTCTTTCTTTGTGTTAGTTGGGTAGCATTTTGCCCTAAGAGGACAAGGCTGTGAGTGCACGATCATTGGCTCAGTCTTCTTCTTCCAAAGGTATAATATCAGGAACTTCATCAGTCTCAGATGTCAAGTCAACGAGAGTGAAATCAAGCATCTGTAAAAGAAGAACCTTAGATGTTGTCTTAGTTGGGGTTTCTATTGCTGTGAAGAGACACCATGACCACGGTGACTCTTATAAAGGAAACAGTTAATGGGTGGGGTGGCTCCCTTACAGTTTCAGAGGTTCAGACCATTATCATGATGGCAGGGCAGCATGCAGGCAGACATGGTGCTCCAGAAATAGCTGAGAGTCCTACATCTTGCTGGCAACAGGAAGTCACTGAGAGTCACACTGAGGAATTCTTGAGCAAAAGAGACTTCAAAGCCAGTCCCCACAGTGACACACTTCCTCCAACAAGACCACACCTCCTAATAGTGCCTCTCTCTTTGGGGGCCATTTTCTCTCAAACCACAACAGATGTGAAACAAGCACTAGCTTTCCTGTGTAGACTAGGGTCAAAGGTAGGACAAGCAGTAAAGAAGAGAAGTGAACTTTCAGGTCCAAAGCAGCTTTTGTGCCTCTACTGCCCCCCCTCAACCGCCCCACACACACACTTAAGGCTTTAGGATGGCTTAAGAGTGCCATTTGAACAATCCACCTTCTATATAAAGGACATAGGAAGGGAAGGGGCAGCTAAGAGCAGCCATTGTCTAATGTGTATGGTGAGTTTAAGTTCTAAGTTAGTGATCTTGCCTACCACCATTGCAGGGCTTTGGGAAATGCTTCACAGATCATTTCCCAGAATTAGAAAATAAATACCTGGGGCTGGGAGATGGCTCAGTGGTGAAGAGCACTGGCTGCCCTTCCAGAGGACCTGGGTTCAATTCCCAGCACCCACATGGCAGCTCACAACTGTCTGCTATCTGACTCCTTCATACAGACATTACATGCAGATAAAAACACCAATGCACATGAAATAAAAAGAAAATTTAAAAAAGAAAATAAATACCTGTTATGTACTGTCAAAGCAGGGCCATAAGAAGTGTTTTGCTGAAAAGGCCTATCAGTGATGGAAGGTGGAGTCAGCATGACATGCACCCTGTGACACTAAGGGGGGTAGTCGGAGATGCCGAATATTCTTTGCAGGCTGTTCACCATGCAACCCCTAGGGGGCACCATTCAGACAATACACAGCACAGATGCACGTACTTGTTACCACACATCTCCAGAAGATGGCACTAAACACATTGAGGATATGATGCCTTTTCCTGGCTATACAACTACAGGAATGGAAATGCTATCTGTAGGGGTTTAACCTGCTGGTAAATGTGTGTGGACAGTGCTAAAAGTTATGACATGGGTTCAGGAATTGTTTTGGGAACAGATTTTAAATAATGAAGCAAAAAAATAAAAACATAAAATTTGAGTTTGTTACATAAAAGTAGTTTAGATTTTTTTTTTTTAACTTTGTGCTTGTATGTGTACATGCACGGCACAGCATGTGGGTGGAGGTCAGAGAACAACCTGTAGGAGTCAGGTCCCTTCTACCACAGTGTGGGTCCTCGGTACTGAACTTGCATTTTCAAGTTTGATAGCAAGTGCCTTTACCGGCTGAGCCAGCTTGCTAGCCTATAGTTTGGATATATAACACAACAAAAACAACAAAAGATCATGCAAATATTTGAGGCAACCTCTCCTCATCCTTAATGGGCAGTCTATGAGCTTGAGGGTGTGCTTGCAGCCCAGGGAGGCAGGAACCATTAGTCTTGCCTCACTTGCTTTACCTTTACTGGACAATTAGGAACGGCTGAGTGGGCTGACACACACCTAACTACTCCCACTCACTTGCCCTAAGTGGGATGCTCTGCAGAGCAAGGCAATGGCAAAGTTCAACCTTACACTATGAGGCACTCAAATAAACATGACTTTGTTAATACAGCTACACACACTATATATATACTATATATATATATATATATATATAGTAACTGCTCTCATATTCACATTCTTTTTACCTAGTAAGTGTACAAAGCAGATTTTTTTCAGTATCAGTCCAAAATGCAGGCAATTATGATATGGGACCAACATCTTGTATCTGGCTCACTCCAATAGAACTTTCATGAAATGAGTACCACGCTAAATGTCTGGGAGGTCCACTCTCTACGAAGATGAGGCTCTTGTGTGAGATTTGAAGCTTTCTCTTGTTATACCCCGCTTCTTTCTATCCTGAGGGCCCAGTTTAAGCAAGTATGAAAGAGGAATCTTGGCTGGGCATGATGGCACATCCTATAGTCCCGACACTTAGAGGGTTGAGGAAGGTGGAGAGTGAGTTTAGTACATACTGAGTTCAAAGCCAGACTGGGCTACTTAGCAAAACCTTATCAAGAACAAAGAAAGAAAGTCGCTTAACTGCTGCCTCCTCTGAAACGTAAACATCCTCCTTCACCCTTACTTCCTGTCACTTGAAACGATCACCTAGCTGAATTTAATTTAAATTAAAAGGCTTCCTCAACTTGCCAAAGTGGTTGCAAAGGCCTGTATAATCCTAGCACTCAATAGACTAGGGCTGGAGGATTGCCATGAATTTGAGACTAGCCTAAACCAAAACCGCTGTAAATATGCCCTGAGCCTATCCCAGAATGAGTTGAGTTAATAAGTTCCACACACAGGGTGAGAGGATCGTATCGGAATTTCAGAAGTAAGAGGAGTAAGGAAGGTCTTTACCACGAAGCCATTTTAAAATGTTACAGAATAGCCTGTTTCACAGGAAACCTCTGAGGAAAGTGTATAGAGATAGTCTGAAGGTTCCCTTGAGACAAAAGTAATAAACACTTAAGCTTACTGGGTCAGAGACAAGTCACAAAACCATCACAGAGAAAGACCTCATAAGGCCATCACAGAGAAAGGCCTCGATATCGAGTTACTCCTGGAACTGGATCAGATCTGAGATCTAACTGGCCCTGTCCTGTGGGAGCCAAGAAAGGTCCAGCTGTCGAGAGAGGCTTTCCCTCCTCCCACACCTGTTTCCCAGGCACCAGTTAGACTGCTTCTTAAAGGTCTGTTCCCCTGCCTCCTCTTAAGCAATACTCTAAAAGGGGCATTGAGCAAAACCCACATTTTAGTTTCTCTTTTTACTTCACTAGCTCCTCAGTGCCTTTAATGTCTCACCAAAGGAGGTGTGGTTTCCTTAATCATGTCCTGGTATTATGTACTTACCTGAGCTGGCCAGTTAGAGAGAATACATGTCATTGTCCCACAGATAGTGTCCTCACACTCTAGTGCGAGCTAGTAAGGACCGTGCAGATAGATAGGTGTAGTGGTTTGTGTCTACTACAGTCTGAGCTTTTGAGGAAGATGAGGCAAAAAGACCACTTGAGCCCAAGAGTTTGAGTCTAGCCTTGGAAACATAATAAGACTCTGTCTCTAGAATTTAATTTTTTTTTTTTAAGACTGGGTCTCTCTGTGTAGCCCTGGCTGTCCTGGAACTCACTGTGTAGACCAGGCTGGCATTGAACTCAGAGATCCACCTGCCTCTGCCTCCCAAGAGTGCTGGGATTAAAGGCACGTGCCACCACACCCAGCCGAAATAAAAGATTTTTAAAGACACTTTGGTCCTCAATTTTTCCGCTTCCATCCATAGACGTATCCTTGGTCTGTAAAGATAAGAAAACTAAAGAGACGAATGGACAGCACTCCATATTCTCTTGAGGTGTGTGTTTGTTTGCACAGGACTAATGACAGAGTTCTTCTCTCAGGCTAACCCACCAGAGCTCATGCAGCCATTACTTACTACCCTGACATGGTAAGATGCCGTGTTAGGAAATTAGCTACAACTAAATTTTCTGTCAGTTTATGCCACGATGAACATTTGAAGACACCAGATACTGCTAAGCCGATGAAAAGCATGCTTGCATAAATTCTCTATACAGAGGCACGGGCAGACAAAACCACAACCAGTGTTCACAGGTCATGACAAGCGGCAGGAACGTCTGCTAAAAGTCAACTGCATTCTAGTCTGGCTTTGTTGCTTTGTTTTTGAGACAAGGTCTCTCTTTGTCGTTCTGGCTGTCCTGGAACTCCCAATGTAGACCAGGCTGGCCTTGAAGTCACAGAGATGTGCCTGCCTCTGCCTCCTGAGTGCTGGGACTAAGGGCCTGCGCCACCACTGCCAGCTCTAATCTGCATTCTGTTGCTCAGGAAGAATGAACTTCAGGCCTGTCTCCTTTTCATCATCAATTTAGTTAGCACTGAAACTCTTGTCACGGAGAAACACAAGAGTATACATTCAGAATTCAGTAACCAGCATTATGACACGTGCCTATAATCTCAGTCCTCAGGAGACTGAAGAGAACCAGAGCTGCGTAGCAAGATCAAACTCAACAAGAAAGAGCAGACATGTAGTTATTACATATGAATTCTCCAAGCCAGGTGTATATCACACACCTACAGTTCCTGTACCCGGAAGGCTGAGTCAGGAAGATTGCTTGAGTCCAAGAGTTAGGCCAGCTTGGGTGGCCCAATAAGACCCCATCTCAAAAACAAAACACATGGTCCAGTGCGATGACTCAGAGCGTAAAGGCTCTTACTATCAAGTTTGATGAGCTGAGTTTGATGGGGACCCACATGGTAGCGGAAAATGGACTCCCACAAATTGTCCTCTGACCTCTACACCCATCATGGCACCCATACACCCACACTAAAGCAAATAAGCATTAAAAAGAAACATTTTTATACCCACAAATACAAATATTTTCAAGTGAAATAAACCACACGCATACTTCTGAGGCACAAAATGGAAAGATAAGCCACAGAATGGCTAATTTGAACTCAGAAAAAAAGAAATTAAGAACCAGAGACTCATGAATAATCTATCTACCTTTCCTGAAGCCAGAAGGTCTGTAACTGCCAAACAAAGACAGCTGCCAGGATGCCAGCAAGTCCCAGACCCCCAACAAGGACACGGTGAAGTCACACACTCTTTCTTATTTTCTTGGGAAGGCATGAGCCAGGGAAGAGACCACCTTCTTAGAGTTTAGTTCTAGCAAAGGGCAGCCCTGCTCACTTCTTAGCATGGCCAGAGGAGTGTGTGGCTCTAGAATTTGCTTCCTTTTTTCTTAAACATTCTATTTTTAAAATATTACTTTACACATAGGAGCATTTTGTTTGATGATATGTACCATGTGCACGCTATGCCCAGAGACTAGAGGAGGGCTTCAGATCCCCTGGAACTAGGCTACCGGCAGCTGTGAGCCTGCCTGCGTGTGGGTACTAGGAATGGAAACCAGGTCCTCTGCAAGAGCAGCCAGTGCTCTTAACCAATAAGGCATCTCTTCAGCCCCTGGAATTTGCTATCTTGAAAATACTGGTTTTTCTATATCAAGTTCCGTGTAGTCCAGGCTGTCCCTGAACTCACTCCATAGGCATGGATGGTCTTGAACTTGTGCTCTTCCCGCTGGCACCTCCAAAATGCTAGGGTTCCAGGAGTGACCACACCTCGTTTATGAGGTGTTAGAGATGGAACCCAGCCAGGGTTTAGTGCATGCCGGGGAAGCACTCTACCAGCTGAGAGCATCCCAGCTTGCATTTACAGTTTTGAAAGTTTGATAAGACTGCAGCTTTGTGATAAGGAGTCTCTCGACCAGTCCTAAACGATGGGTCACCCTTAAAGGGACTAGAAGCCTGGCTACCATAGACAGATTGCTTAGATTTCTTCCTTCTAATTATTCTCACGTGGCTTCCTATGGGCATCTCACCATTGACTGAAATGGTTTTCTCACACAGAAATAGTTGTCCAGGCAAGTGGACACTGAGCAATCTCACTTGTGACTTATTTTTTAACTGGGCTCTTGGGAGAATAAAAAAGGCTGCTGTCTTTTGGGGAAAGTGGTGCAAACCTCCCATAGTTTCCTGTCCAGCAAAGCAGCCCGCGGTGACCAGGCCTTTCTACTGGCTTAAAATTCCCTTGGGGGAGGGGTGGCTGGAGAGAAGGCCCAGCTGTAGAGAGCACTGGCTCCTCTTACACAGGACCAGGGATCTGATTCCCCAGCACCCACATGTTGGCTCATAACTGTGACTCCAGTTCCAGGGGACCCAATGTCCTCTTCTGACCTTCACAGGTATCAGACATGTGTGTAGTGCACATACATACATGGAGGCGAAACACTCAAACACACATAAAAAAAAATCTAAAGAAAATGTTTTCAACTCCTCTCAGGGGTAGGTTAATTGGCAAATGAACAACTGCCACCTAATAAAATTCTAATGCACACGATTTTTGTCCTTTATGTTTTGTGTTTTTCTGAGATAGGGTCTCATGTAGCCCAGACCCCCAAACTCGGAGATTGTACCGTCTCTGCCTCTGGAGTGCTGGGATTAAAGTCATCACCACTCTGGGACTATTCTTGACCTTTGATTCTCTTGTCTCTATCTCCTACACACTAAGGTTAGAGGCATGTGCCACTGTGGCCCCACACCTTCCTTTTTGTTTTTGTTTTCTGTTGAGTTTTTATTTTTCCAGGCTCGAAAGAGTGTACAGAGAAGTATGGCCATAGGCTGTTTTCTGGCTTTTTAAAGAAAGTATCATGTTTTTATTTGTTTTATGTAAATGGGAGTTCTGCCTACATGTGCGTTGGATCCCCTGGGGACTGGAGTTTCAGTTCCGAGCTGCCATGTACATGCTGGGAATTGAACCCGAGTAGTGCCCTTAACCCTTGGGCCATCTCTCAGTCACCTCCCCCGCTTAAACAATTTATTTTTTAAAAAATTAAAAGACACTCCACACTTACATTGTGTTTTTGTTTTGTTTTGGATACGGGTTTCTCTATGTAGCCCTGGCTGTCCTAGAACTTGCTATGTAGACCAGGCTACCCTCAAACTTGGAGATTCACATGCCTCTGCCTTCTGAGTGGTGGGATTAAAGGTGTGTGCCACCATCCTCTGACCTGTGTGTGTGTGTGTGTGTGTGTGTGTGTGTGTGTGTGTGTGCTTGCTTGTGCATAAGGAACTCAGAGAACAACATTCAGAGTCAGTTCTTTCCACCTATCATGGGGTGGGTCTTGAACCTTTACCTGTTGAGCCCTTTTACTGACCCTTTATCCTGCTTCTATGATGGCTTCCCTGCTGCTCAGGCTGCTCTCTAAGTCCTGGGTTCAAGTGATCCTCCCCTATCACCCTCCTGAGTGGCAGTAACAATGTGTTCAGCCTCATATTAGCTTTGGATTTGTTTGAAAACTTCGGATCAGTCTCTGAATGCTATGACCCTGCTGACCTCCCCAACAGGCCAACTGGAATTCATGTATGTGCTTAACAAGGTCATGCAGGTCAAGCAGGTCAACGAAAGCGACACACAAAGCCCACGTGACAACAGCATAAAAGTGCTCCATCCTGCTGTGAATTTTATTGAGTCCAAAGGTGGCATTTCTTCATAGGGAATAAAAAAAGAAAACTAAATTCAAGTTGCACAAGCATGCGCCTGGAGGTGAACAATGATGAAGCCTGCTCAGAATATGCAGGAGCAGATGTCAGTTCAAAGCAGAAGCTACATGAATGAATCTTTATTCGGTACAGACAGACATTTACAGCCAACAGCACAAAGGCCACAGACAAAAATGTATAAGTACACCTGAGCTTTTAAGTTCTGGCTAGGCTCTCACATGCCTAACACATTCCGCTCACCAGCCAGGGAAAAAGAACTCATGTGCCAATGGCGGCCGGCCCCTTTACAGCACTTAATTCAGCCACTAATGACCATAATGAGGACCTTTGTTTGAACTAGCTGCTTTTCCAATCTAAAGTCACCTACTGGGTTAATTTCAAACTAGCAAAAGATGTCACCTGGCTACATCATGCACTAGTGACAAGGACAGGTTCAGAGAGTTTTGAGCTCGGACTGCTGGACCTCCTGGCTGGTCTTGTCCACCTGTGGATTCTGAGACTTAGTAGACTGAGGATAAAAGGGACCTACCAGCCAGTTGAGAGGCGTGTTGTTAACAAGGTAATCCATCACATCATCTAAGGACTCTTTCATTTTCTGCAGCTGCCCCTTGCTAGAAGTGAGGAAGCCATCAGACACTTCCTTAAAGGAGGCAGCATTGCGGAACACTGAGTAGAGGTCGCCTGCCATCACCCCCAAGTGGTTGGCCTGATCTTGAACGTTCTGTGGTAGCCCTTGGACGTTGGACAGGAGAGTCTGGCATGTAGTCTGAAGCTGCTGAGTCAGGTTGCGGGCGACGGCCAGAGTACGTGACTCAATGTGCTAAAAATAAAACAAACTCAGGAATTAGCAGTGGGTCTGACGGTGCTAGGTAAGATTTAGCCCAAACACAGTATGTTGGCTATGTACCCATACGAACATCCACTACACATGCAGCCTCTTTGACTCCTGAGGGTTTGCTTCTTTTTCCCCAAGGAGGAATGCCCCGTCACTGAACTAAGACCCCAACCAATTGGATTTTTTTTTTTTTTTTTTTTTTTCGAGACAGGGTTTCTCTGTGTAGCTTTGCGCCTTTCCTGGATCTCACTCTGTAGACCAGGCTGGCCTCAAACTCACAGAGATCCACCTGCCTCTGCCTCCCGAGTGCTGGGATTAAAGGCGTGCGCCACCACCGCCTGGCTCCATTTGATTTTTCTAATAACCCTTATAACGATACTGTATGCAGCAGCACTAATCATATTTCACAGCTAGGAATATATGCTTAGAGTTTAAGTAATTTGCTCCATTGAGAGCTGGAGAGTAGCTAAGTGGGAGATTTGAACTTGTGACTGCAAAGGTCATCCTCTTAAAATGAAGACTAGCAAGCAGGGGAGAGCAGACATCAAAGCGTAGACTCCCTGTTGTTAGCTGAATTTAGATCTTCTATTCTCAGATAAGAGGATGCAATATGAACCAACAATGGACACTGATTTCAGAGGCACTCTGGGTACATGGAGGACCATTTTGTGTGATTACGTCGAGCAAGTTCTGGAGCATGAATGAGCCCCTATCCTTTCACGAGTTTACTGTCAGCTCTCAGCTGTGTCCTGAGCTTCTCCAGAAACCGCCTTTGCCCATCCCAAGGCAGGTGCACCACTGAGCTACACCCCAGCCTGCTCCTTACTTCTAAAAATAATATTTCAACTACATTTATAGTGTGTACTTATGTAGAGGTCAGAGGAGAACCTGAGAGACTTGGCTACCTCCTACCATGTGGGTCGGAGGCACCTTTATCTGCCTACCCATCTCTCCAGCCCCTCTCTTTATTTTCAGATAGGCCCAGGCTAGCCTTGAACCTGTTATCCTCCTGCCTCAACACCCCAAAGAGCTGGGATTCCACGTCTGTGTGAGTCTTCACAGGGAAGCTGATAAGGAAAGACTTTCATCTCACCTCAGCACAGTGGGACTCGTCAGTGTCATCATAGCCGATGCTCCTCCTCCACTCCACCCAGGAGACATAGAGCTTATCCTGGGCACCCTGAATTTTCTGGTTGGCACTGTGCACATTTTTCCTGGCGAATTCAATCTGGGATGAAACAAAACAGGTGAACCCGGTCATCCCTTTACTTCCCATCTGCTTGTAGCTCCGTGGCACATGCAGGTGACGTAGAGACCACAGGTTGCTGTAAGAGTTTAATGACAGCTGCGTTTACCTATCGACCTGGCAGTCGGCCAGGTAGCAGTGGCTCTTCATTGCCTCTGTGCAACTATTAAATTGCTGATCCTGGTAATAGATCAGCAGGTAAATATACAGGTAAAACGTAATAGAGTTTATATTCGCATGAAGGGTAAATGAGAATTAAAAGGAGAAAAAGGCACGGGACAAATAAAGGAGAAAGAAGGCCAGGCACGGTGGTGCACGCCGGTAATCCCAGCACTCGGGAGGCAGAGGCAAGAGAATTGCTACAAGTCTGAAGCTAGCTTGGTCTGCGTATCAAGTTCTGGGCCAGCCTGAACTACACAGCAAGACTTTGTCTGGAAAAAAAAAAAAAAAGAGGAAGAGAGTTCAGCCTTCCTCTTCCTTGTCACCAGCCACTTGTTCTTCCAGGAAGAAACTGACGCTCAGTACTGTACATGCCACTCTTTAACTTGGCAATCTTTAATGGCTGCACAATAATCTATTGTGATGTTTTGCACAGACTCACCCCTACTCCTGCTGTGCACTGTATGGTCTCTTCCAACTATAAAGTAAAAGAAGTATCTGTAAGGCAAATATCTAACAGGAAAACTGCTCAAGATATACATTTATAACTTCCTAGAATAGCCTCAGTTTTTATTTGTTTAGGTTTTTTTTTTTGAGACAAAGTCTTTGTCTTGGTTGTCCTAGAATGTGCTATGTAAACCAGGCTGGCCTCAAATTCACAGATATCTCACTACTTCTCCCTCCCTGAGCACTGGGAATAAAGTAAGTGGTTTTTTTGTTTTGTTTTATTTGGTTTTTAGACTTATTTTTTTGGGTTGTTTTGTTGATTTTTCGAGACAATGTTTCTCTGTGTAACAGTTCTGGCTGTCCTGGAACTTGATCTGTAGACCAGGCTGGCCTTGAACTCACTGAGACCCACTTGCCTCTGCCTCCCAAGTGCTGTGATCAAAGGCATGAGCCACCACCGCCCGGCTTATTTTGATGTATATCTGCATGCATGTGTGCGCCCAATGTGCATGCCTGATGCCCTGGTGCCCTCAGAGGCCAGAAGAGGGTGTTGGACCCCCTGGAACTAGAGTTACAGGTGCTCTGAGCTGCTGTGTGTGTGTGTGTGTGTGTGTGTGTGTGTGTGTGTGTGTGTGTGTGTGTTTGTGTGTGTGTGCTCATGCGTGCTCACAGCAAGTGCTCTTAACTTCTAAGCCATCTCTTCGGCCCCATGGAAACTGTTCTTAGAGTTCTTCAGAAGTTCCCAACCCCACCTCTGGATCATTGCCAACAGCATCACATTCTGGACGTGCCACAGGACAGGGAACTGGCTGTACTGACACCCCAGAAGTTTCACTCTTTTCTAGTCATCTGAACACACTCCACTTGTCCACTGGACTATTCACATATAATATTGAAATCCTTAAATGTCCTGAACCTATCTCCTCTCATCCCTAAAATGACACTGTACTCACCAGATGAACGGTGGAATGGAGCTGAGCAATGGTCTCCTGGCTCTTTTGTTTGGCATCTTTAACCTTGCTGAGGGCCTGCTGGTAGGCCCGGGAGCGCAGCTTGCTGGACAGGGACCCCAGTCGTACATAGTAACTTGGCTTCTGCACCACATCAAAGCCTTCCACCTTTTTTGCTTCTATCTCTGGAAATAAAGGACAAAAAGAAAACGAGAAAATAAACAAGGGATCTCAGCTGTGATCCCAACAAAGACGTCTGGATTCCCTGAGACTGTTCATATCCACTGTTGGGTCGACCACCCTGATGTGCTACTGGATCTGTTACACACTCACACATACACACACGTGCATGTGTGTTTACATATGCTTTTCCCACCAGCATGAACTTCTTAGCAACATAGACCCCGGCACATAGAAAAAGCAGTAATGCTAACTAAGGACCACTAAGGCTGGTCTCAAACTTGCTATATAACCAAGAATGACTTGAAACTTTTTAAGATTCTTTTTTTAAGATTTACTTATTGCCAGGGGATGGAGAAATGGCTCAGTGGAAGAACCTGGGTTCAACTTTCAGGACCCACATGAGGGCTCACAACTCTTTGTAACTACAGTTCCGGGGGATCTAGCGTTACACACACATGTGATGCACAGATGTACATGCAGGGAGAACATTCATACACACAGAACAAAAATAAGTAAAACTTTTTTTTTTTCTGGTTTTTCAAGACAAATTTTCTGTTTTTGGAGCCTGTCCTGGAACTCACTTTGTAGACCAGGCTGGCCTTGAACTCAGAGATTCACCTGCCTCTGCCTCCTGAGTCCTGGGATTAAAGGCGTGTACCACCACCACCGCCCGGCCAAAAAACATTTTTTTTAAAAAGGCCAGAACTATGGCTCAGTGGGCAGAGGCACCTCTAAGCCGGATGCCCTGAGTTTGATTCCCCAGCAGCCACACTGTGGTGGTTTGAACGAGAATGGCCAGAGGCTTTCGGTTGAATACTTGGTCCCCGGTTGCTGGAACCGTGTGGGAAGGATTAAGAGGAGTCGCCTTGATGGAGCAGGTCTGTTACAGTCTTCTGAAAGACTGGTGCCATTCCCAGTGTGCTCTCTCCACCTCTAGCCTCCTAACCAAATGTGAGCTCTCAGCTGTCCCTGCCACCGTGGGTTTGCTCCACCATCAAGGCCTCTAACCCTCTGAAACCGTAAGTCCAATTAAACGCCTTCTTGAATAAGATGCCTTGGTCATGATGTTTTGTCACAGCAGTGGAACAGTGACTGAGACACACCTGCAGGAAGGACAGCATCAGCCCCTGCAACGTGTCCTTGGTCTTCCATGTGCATCAAGGCATGCGTGTCCACCATACATAAAATAACAAAATGTAGTCGGGCGGCGGTGGCGCACGCCTTTTTTTTTTTTGTTTTTTTTGTTTTTTTTTGTTTTTTTTGTTTTTCGAGACAGGGTTTCTCTGTGTAGCTTTGCGCCTTTCCTGGAACTCACTTGGTAGTCCAGGCTGGCCTCGAACTCACAGAGATCCGCCTGGCTCTGCCTCCCGAGTGCTGGGATTAAAGGCGTGCGCCACCACCGCCCGGCATGTGGCGCACGCCTTTAATCCCAGCACTTGGGAGGCAGAGCCAGGCGGATCTCTGTGAGTTCGAGGACAGCCTGCGCTACAGAGTGAGTCCCAAGAAAGGCGCAAAGCTACACAGAGAAACCCTGTCTCGAAAAAACAAAAAAAAACATAAAATAAAATAATAAAATGTAACTTGATTAATTAATTAAATGTTAATGGTAGCTTTGGGCTGGTCATGGTGGTGCATACTTATCCCTGCACTCGAGACTCAGCCCTGCATTGGAGAGGTAGACAGTCAGATCTCTGTGAGTTCAAGGCCCACCTAATCTACATAGAGAGTTACAGGCCAGCCAGGGCTCCATACTGAGATCTCTAAATAAATGAACACAGTTTTTAAAAGGGAATCAAAAGGAACATCAGCATAAAAGCACCATTACCCAGCTCCTCCTGAGTGAGAGGGAGGTACTGGTCTACCAGGAGCTCTGACTTGGCAAGTGCATTTTCCACTCCGCTGCTCACAAGCTGCACCATCCGACTCCCCAAAACTGTGTTGATGCTGCCGTTGACCGCAGACTTGGTCCTCTCCACACCGCCAGTAACTGCTCCTTTGGTCTTATCCACCACCCCTGTGATGGTGCTGGCTACAGAATCCTTGGCCCCGGCCACAGTAGTCGTCACTGCATCTTTTGCCCCAGTTACAGCACCTTTGGCATTGGCAACAATCTGTAAGAAAAAAAAAAAATAGAAGTCAGCTTGTGAGATAAATGGGCAAATACACACTTAACGCTTTTACAAAGGCTCCAGAGTTAAAGATGGATCTTTTACTCCAGGCCTTGGGCATAACATTAAGATTCAATGAGGCTCCATGTCTCTGTCAGGTCTTTGTCCTACCAGCCACTCCTTAAGGATTATTAGATGTGCAAATAAAATAAGCATGAAATCAATCAAGTTGTTTTGGTTTTGTTGTTCTTGTTTGAGACAGGGTCTTACAGTACACTGCCCTTGCTGGCCTGGAACCCAGACCCAATTGCTTCTGCCTCCTGGATGCTGGGATTAAAGGCATCACCATGACCGGCTTTGATCGGTTCATTAGTAATTTATCTTGGAAGCCTGGGAGGCCAGCCTGGTCTACAGCCAAGGCTTTGTGGAGAAACTCTGTCTCAAAAAACAAAAATAACAAAAAAGAATATCTCGTAGGGCTAGTCAGATGGCCCAGCAGACAAAAGGAAGTGCTCCCGAGCCTGGAGAACTGAGTTCTCCCCGGGACTCACGTAGTAGAAGGAGAGAATCACCTCCCTCCAGCTGTCTTCTGACCTCCACACACGCAATGTGGCACCAACACCCCAATTTACCCCACAAAAAAAAAAAATTAACTTACATACAGTATTTTTCAAACTTTATCTTATACTGAGTGTGGTGAATATGCTTATAATCCCAGCACTCAAGAGGCTGAGGCTGGAGTTTGAGTTCAATGCACAAGGAAACTTTGACTCAAAACCAAAATAAACCCAAAAACCCTGAGTTCAATCCTCAGCAGCCCCTGCCCCACCCCTCAAAAGAAAAATCCAGAGGATCTTTACAATGTTACATTTGCAGGTAGGCAAAAGGAGAGAAAACAGGCACTGAAGAAGGGTGGTAGGTGAGGAACGTGGCTCAGTTAGCAGAGCGTTTAAACATCGTGAAACACTGGGGTCGAGTCCTGGCACCATCAAAAGGGGTAGTCTGCAAGCCTACAGCCTCAACACTTGGGAGGTAGAGGCAGGAGCAGCAGCAGCTTGATGTCACCCTTACCTACAAAGGGAATTCAAGGGCGGCCTAGGCTAAGAGACCCTATACCCACCCCCTCCCCAAAAAAATAAACGAAAGCGGAAACTTGTTACCTATCGGTGAGATTATGTAACTTTGGATAGCTCGTTCAGAAGTCGCATCACTCCAGAAAGGACACTGCAGACCAAGATGAACTTGGTCCTCTAGGCCCTGGCACGTGGGGTTGTCCAGGTTAGAGAGAAGACCGATAGGGAGGGGAGAAGGCGGCAAGAGATTCAGGGGAGGGTGGCACAGAGCCACAAGGAACTCCAGCAACAGCAACCTCTGAATTACTTCTGAGTAAGAGCTCAGCTTACGAAGCTTTCAGTTTACTATCCCAACCTAGTTTTTTCTTTAGTCTGATATACAGTAAGTTGACTATTTTTGTTGTGGAGTTGCAGGTCAGACTCAGGGCCTTGTACACACTGGGCAAACCATGAGCTATATATACCCCCAGCTCATAAGTTATTCTGGGCATTATAAACAAGTCATCAAGACTCCTTTTTTTTTTTTTCTTTCTTTTTTTTTTTGAGAAAGGGTCTTACTGTATAGCCCTGCTGGCCCAAGAACTCGATATGTAGACCAGGCTGGCCTTGAACTCACAGGAACACCCTGCCTCTGCTTAGAGCCCTGGGATTCAAGTCATGCGCCACCATACTAGCCAACCATTCCTCAAAATTTAAACACCCCAAATGGAAAATAATTCCTATCCTTCCAATAGCCTCAAGCAACATAAGTGAACATTTTAGAGACACATAAAAGTACTCTAAAGGCTGCACGCTAAACTCATCTATTTAAATGGTGAAAGACACAGCCCGGTTTTCCCCTAACTATCATTTTGTGTAATGCTGTATTCTTAACCAGAAAGAAAATTTTAGAGCATTATCTGAACTACAGGATCCCTAGGGTGGATGAGGCAATCATTTTGCCCACACTGGCTAGCTGTCACGTATGCATGTGGTTCCTACCAGCGCTGCACAAAGCCAACCCAGCGCAGCTCCCAGTTAGTTGTACATACATCCAGCACCACATGGAACCAGTTATTTAAGGGCAGTTTCAGAGCCAGAGCCACGTTACAAACCAACAGAGACTGGCCTTTAGAACATTCTAACCAAAAGCGGCTAGTTCCTCTCTGCTTCTTGGACTCAACCCAACAGCAGTTCAGGAAGTTAGGGAGCAGCCATTACTCCTGCAAAACTAATGCTCCAGCTTAAGGGCAAGCTATTTGTGTGCTTGTGGCACACAGAGCCTGGGCTAAAGAGACCATGAAAACGCGCCAAGCAGCAAGCCTCAACACTGTCCCAAGCTCACCTCAGCTGTCGGCTGATTCAGAATAGGCAGTCTTTCCTCGATCCTGTCTAGCCCTTTGCAGGCATAGGTATTGGCAACAGCGACTGCAGGACACACAGGAAACACAGGTCATTGTAAGTACAGAACAAATACACACGACAATATCTTAGGGCTTTACTTAGCCTTATTACAAAAAAAAATAGCAAGAACGCAGTTTTGTTTTCTTAAAAATCACAGGATCAGCCTCCTGGTTTCTCTAGCTCTGTCTGACAGAAGGAAATTAGGCAGATTGCTGGCAACTGGCTACTTTCCTCTAGTGACAGGTAAATAAGGGGTTGTATAGGAAAAGCAGCTAAGGAAGAAGGCCTCCATGTTAGCAACAGAGTAGGCAAGCTTCCACTGAACCTTCCTTCACTCGGGAAATAAAGTAACTGAAAACTCTCAAAATTAGCATTTCCAGGCTGGGTTAGTCCCTGTCTATCTCAGTACACAGCTATATATTCTGGGGTCTCACCAGTGAACAGCAGCACCCTGGATCCCCCTAACGAGGCCCAGATTTCAGCCTAAGCTTCTCCCTTAAGGATAACAGGCCAAGCATTCACACCAAATTCATTTCAGAATTAGCACTGTTGGCATCTCAAAGGACGCTTAAATCCTTAAAATCCAAGGTGCTGTGGAATCATCTCTTTTTGTACACTGAGAGGCTATATCACTCTGACTGGTTTAATAAAAAAGCTCAATGGCCAATAGCTAGGCAGGATTTTGGGGGCAGAGAGGATGCTGGGAAGAAGGCAGCCAGACATGGAGGAAGTAGGAAAGCACATGGGTAGTACAGAGTAAAGGTAATAAAGTCACAAGGCAGAAAGTAAATTAATAGAATTGGGTTAATAAGTTATAATAGCTACTTAGAAGCAAGCCTAAGCTATCGGCCAAGCTTTCATAATTAAAAAGTCTCTGTGTCGTAATTAATAGATATGGGTTAATGTAAGTTACAATAGCTACTTAGAAACAAGCCTAAGCTATTGGCTGAGCTTTTGTAACTAATAAGTCTGTCATAAATTGGGAGCTGGCTGAGAAAGATTAGCTACACCAAGGCCCTAATTTACCCTTTGGAGACTGATTCAAATCTTTGTCAAAAGCAGTTCATGTTTTTGGAGAGATTTGATGGTAGGAGTGTAAAATAGCGTAGCCACTTGGAAAAACAGTCTGGTGATCCTTCTAAAAATAAAAAAACAAATTTAATGTGTATGGGTGGGTGTTTTGCTTGTATGTATGTCTGTGCACAAGTGTACAAGCCTGGTGTCTATGGGAGACCAAAAAAGTCATTGGATCCCCTGGAACTGGAGTTACAGATAGTTGTGAGTCACCATGTGGGTGCTAGGAATTCTACCAAGGTTGCCTAGAAGAGCAGCCAGTGCTCTTAACCCTCAGTCATCTCTCCAGCCCTGATTTCTCTGAAATTTAAACAGTTATTAAAGACCCAGCAACTCTACTCCTAAATACATACTAACGAGACTGAAAATATTCACCCCAAAACTTGTACATACATATCTTCACAGAAGTATTATTCATCACCTTCCCAAAGTAGAAGCTACCTTAATGTCCATCAGCTGATGAATGGGTAAAATGCTTGAAGACCAGAGTTCAGTTGCCCAGAATCCACACAGTGTGGATTACAAGCCATCTGTAACTACAGCCTCGGCAGAAACAGGAGACCCGGAAAACAAATGGGCTAGCCTGATAGCCATATCAGTAAGCTATGGTTTTTGATTGAGAGACTCTGCCTCAAAAGTGAGTGATCCAGGGTGATTCATGGCATCAGTCTCACACCTCCACATGGCTACACACAGAAACACACACTGTGACATAGGAAAAGGGGGAGGAATATTGCCCTGGCTAGTTTTTATGTCAACTTGACACAAGCCAGAGTCATCAGAGAAGAGAGAACCTAATTGAGAAAATGCCTCCATAAGACAGGGCTATATGCATGCCTGTAGGACCTTTTCTTAATTAGTGATTGACGGGGGAGGGCCCGGCTCATTGTGGGTGGGACCACCCCTGAGTTGGGTTCCTGGGTTCTTCTATCAGCCAGCTGAGCAAGCTATGAGAATCAAGCCAGTAATCAGCACCCCTCCAGGGCCTCTGGGTCAGCTCCTGCCCAGTCTGAGTTCCCGCCGTGGCTTCCCTCAATGGACAGTGACTCGGGTTATGTAAGCCAAATAAACCTTTTCCTCCTCTGGTTGCTTTGGGATTTATGGTGTTTCATCACAGCATCAGGAGTCCGAAGACAAATATTATCTACCCACACAATGTAATATTCCTTAATAAAAAAAAAAAGGGGGGGGATTAAGTACAGCTACAGCATGGCCATCCGCCATGGCTCTGAGGGGCACATGCAATGCTATATCACAGAGAAGTCTTGAAAAAGCTCTATGCTAAGTGAAAGAAGCCTGTGGTAGAAGAGTAAGTTTCATGACTCTTCTTGGACCGGCGGCCAGAAACAATTTCTATAAAAATAGATTAATAGCAACCTGAGGCGGGTGGAAAGAAGTGGGGAATGAGTGCTACGGAAACCGAGCTTGCTCCCGTTGTCTGCGGTTCCTGGGGTGGAACCCAGGGTCTCAGACATGCCAGGAAAGCACCCACCACTGAGCTACAATCATTTTCAATTTACGTAGATTCATTGTCCAGTGTTTTTCTTATCTCAATAATGTTACTATTAAAAATACAAAGTTTTGCCGGGTGGTTGTGGTGGCGCATGCCTTTAATCTGAGCGCTTGGGAGGCAGAGGCAGGCAGATCTCAGTGAGTTCGAGGCCAGCCTGGTCTACAAATCGAGTTCCAGGACAGCTAGGACTATTACATGGAGAAACCTGTCTGGGGGGGGGGGGGGAGAAAAAAGTTTTGAATAGAACTCAGTGGGTTGAGTGCTTGCCTAGTTCTATCCCCAGTACTGCATAAACCAGGCATGTTGGTTTAGGCCTTGAGAGGCTGTAATCCCAGCCACTTGAAAGGCTGAGGCAGGGGGATATCCTTGAGTTTGGGAACAAAGTCACATAGTGTATTCCTGGCCAGCATGAACTACAAAGTGCAACCTTGTCTCAAAACGAAAAGTTTGGGCAGGCAAGATGGCTCAGTGAGTAAGAGTGCCTGCTGCCAAGCCTGACGACCTGAACTGATCCCTGTTGTGCTGGCCATGGCCATGGCACGCACCTACACACAAATGCAGACACACATACGGACACAAAATAAATTAAAAATACAATAAAAGTTGTTTTTCAATTTGCACATATTGTATGAGAAAGCTAACTCAGTTCACCTCCCTGGATGATTCCTTTGAAATTTATTTTTTCTGTCTTTTTGGTTTGTTTTTTTTGTCTTGAGACAAGGTCTCACTATGTAGCTCTGGCTAGCCTGGATTTTGCTAGGTAGAGCAGGCCGACCTCGAACTTAAAGATCTGCCTGCCTCCACCCCCAGAGTTCTGGGACTAAAGGCATAAATCACCAGGTCCAGCCTATTTTATTTTCCTTCTTGAGACAGTGTCTCATACAGCCCAGGCAGCCTGGAGTTCACTATGGAGCCATGACTGACCTTCAGCTCACACTTCTCCACCTCCCCTCCAAAGCGCTGGGATGACAGGTATGAGCCACCATGCCTGGCTGGGAAGTTCCCAGTAGGGTGATGTGAGTCCACTGTCTGTCATGGCTACAAAGCAGTCCCTGGTGACAATGATGGTCACCAGACAGTTTCTACGTAGAGGCAGTTTCGTGTTGCAGGAAGGCCTGAGGGTTCCCTGGTGTTAACTCAGAACTCACCCTACCTAGTCCCTTGGGCTCAATACTGGCTGAAAAATCTGAACTCACTCTGTGGCTCCAGCTTCTGGATGATGGGCATGGCACTTGTCACGGCCACGGAGGTCACGGTCTTCACACCCTTCTCTGCCATCTCACACACGGATCTCAAATACGGATGCTGATCCTTCGTACTGACATAAGCGGAGGACACGAGGTCATAGGTAGAGCTCACCAAGGGCAAGTTGGCCACCCTGGTCACCACGCTCTGCAACCAGAGAGGAGTGGATATTAATGACTCAGAACAGAGAGGGGAAAGGGGGCCAAGAAACGGGTATTTAAAAAATCATACCGGTTGTGGATCAATTGCAACAGATGCCATTTTTTCCTCCTGGAGATAAAAAGGAAACCTGGAGAGAAAAGAAACTGATTTCAGAACACTGGGAAAGGATTCCTTCCCCAACCCAGGGAAGTTGCTCAGTTCCAGCTGATCAAGTTTCCGTTTCCCACCCTCTAACTCAGAGCCCTCTCCTGGGCCAACAGCCTGCTGTTAGGTGAGGGCCTGGAGCAGTTTATGCACTTTCAACAGGAAAGAGTAGTCACTGACATGCGTCCTGACTCTTAACCAGGACACTAGAAATACCTTTGAAGGGCAGCTTGTTTTCAAAAAGGCTAACCAGAAAGGCAAACAATTCAATTCAGACAGAAGACATCTTAGCTTCCCCACAGACCTGCCCTTGATTACTAGTTTTATTTTTGAGACAGGGTCTCACTTTGTAACCCTGGCCAGCCTGGAACTCATTATGTAGGCCAGGCTGGCCTCCAACTCGGAGATACGCCTGTCTCTGCCTCCCAAGTGACAGGATTACAGGCGTGCCCTTGATTTACTCTAGCCTTGGCCAGTCTAAAGCCCAGACTGACCCTCCTAACTCAATCTCCCTAGTGTTGGGCTTAGACCCAGGCCACCAAACCTGCTCACAGCCTCGGGACTATCAAGCTGCGACACTTGAGTGCGTTTACCGTCTGTATGAATAAGACTGGAAGCAGCAGTGGCTGCCTTATGCCGCCTGAGCTCAAGAAAGAGTCGCTCCAGCGAACTTAGGGACGTCTCCGGAACAAGCGCTAGCTGTAAAATTTAACATCCCCAGTGACCCACACCCACACGAAACTGCCCTCTGCCCAGAGCAGAACCTGTCTAGCCACAGCTCAGCCTCCTGCCAAACGTCCCTGTTCCACAAGAAATAATTGCCCTGAAGGCGGAAGCTTCGAGCAGCATCCATCTCGTAGTGCAACCCATAAAATACCACTTTACGACGTTTTCCAAGGGTATGGCGGTGCTGTAATGCCTGGGCTCTGAGGCAGGAAAGGAGCACGAGTTCAAGGCCAGCTTGGGCTAGAGCAAGCCCGCGGACAGACTTCGCTGTCGAGTGAGACACTAAAGGAAAATGAGACAATTCTCACTACGCGCCCCCATTAGTACTTCTCTAAGGTGTCTCTCTTTAAATAGAGCCTCTGCGGGACAAGCAAAAGTTGCTCCACCACAGCCCAGACGGAAGTGCAAGCAGAAAGTAAACCTCTAGAACAAAAGCGAAAGCTTTCCCAGCCAGCCCGGGACTGCCCGCGCCCGGCCACCACCGGCCAGGTCACCACCCGTTGCTGCAGCCCCGAGCCCAGAGCAGGCCGAGCGGCAGCCGCTGGGGGCCCTGATCTGATGCAGCACCCACCTAGCCGCCCGGAGAGCAGAACAAAGAGCAAATCCGCACGGTCCAGCCCGCAGTACAGCAGGGCGGCCCGGGCGAGCGCTAAATACCGCCTGGCTGCCCCGCCCAGGTCTCCGCGACACGTGACACCCTAACCGCCTGGGGCAGCTGAACGGAGCACCACCGAAAACCAGGCGGGGCTGGGTCTCTGGAGCCGCCCAGTGGGGAGGTGGGAACCCTGCCTGGGCGAAGAGACCCCAGCCTGATGCCAGGAGACACCAGGGACAAGCCAGGACGAGGGGACCCCAGCCTGATGCCTGGACACCAGGGACAAGCCCGGGCGAGGGGACCCCAGCCTGATGCCAGGACACCAGGGGCCTCCCTGGCAAGGGACTCCAGCCCAGTGCCAGGACACTGGGAGCCCTCGGGGTGAGGCCTTCGGCTGTCTTAGGTCAGGGGTCCTGCTAGTCATACGGCAAAGGCAGAGCCCCCTTTGGGGTTTTGGAATATGCAGACAAGCTAACAAGAGCTCTCAGAAAAGAACGCTTCAAAAATGAAGTCGTGGTTCTAACCTTTTGCTTTGGGCCCAGAAAGTAACAAAGATCTGTGAAATTCCAACACAATAACGACCTGTAGAGATTTCTGGTTTACTGCTCTTTTGGATTTAAACGATTCATGAACTGGATGTGGTGGTTCCCGTCTGTAATCCCCAGCATTTGGGAAATTGCAGCAAGAGTTAGTTGCGAGATGTAGGCCAGAAAACACCCTGTTCTCAAACCGAGACAATTTATCAAACGCTTCTAATTAAAGGTTAATCTGGATTTCCAAAAAACAAAGCTTGAAACTGCCTTCTGTGTTTTCTTCAGCAAGACAACTTCAAATCGCTCTGGAGTGATAGCAGCCAACAATTAAAGAAGACAGCCAACTTGGTTGTGATTTAGGCAATGTTTTTTGTTTTGTTTTTCTTCCAGACAGGGTCTCACTATGTAGCTCTGGCTGTCCTGGAACTCACTCTGTAGACCAGGCTGGCCTGGAACTCAGAGATCCACCTGCCTCTGCCTCCTGAATGCTGGGATCAAAGGTGTACGCCACCACTGCCTGGCATGCAATTTTTTTTTTTAAAGGGAACTTAGTCAACACCCGAAGTGTAGGATGCAGGAATGTGAACTGGGTTATTTGATCTCAAACGTTGTGTGGCCATCTGGAGTCAGAGAATGTCCTTCCTGGGGAAAGGTAGAGGTGCAGGCCTTCTGATTCCTTGCAAGGGAAACTAGAGAGAACAGGTTTAGGAAGGAAACTCTCTCATGCTCAAGGCATGGAGGTCCCCTGTCACCACGTCATGGACTAAGAGAAGCAGCAACTGTGCCAGATCCCACTAGGCAAGGCTCGTGGAAGCTGCTTTTGGAACTGTGGAATTTGAACTCTGGGCAGCCCTCACCTCCACGTCAGTCACTTAACTGATGCTGCCTGCACATGGGTGCTGCTTTTTGTTTTTTCAAAGGTTCAAAGGTCCAAATTAACTCATTAAAATGTATGCCTGGATCAATCACCAGCACTGTGAAAGACACCACTGAACAATTAAAAAAACAAACAAATACTTACCTGGCAGGGGAGATACCATGATCACTAAGGTGGTTTTCCCAGGGCGAGGCTTATCCATTGCACTCTGGATGTGCTGAACCCTGCAATTTCCCCAAATGCGGGAAACTCGACTGCATAATTTGTGGTAGTGGGGGACTGCGTTCGCACTCTCCCCTGAGAAAAAATTTTAAAAAAATAAAAATAAAAAAACAAACAAACAAAACAACAACAAAAAAAGTAAGCCATAAAATGTCTGGAAGACCAAGGAAGTTCTGAATGCTTTTTTTATTAAAGATTTTGTTTTGTGTGCAATAGTATATTTATGCAGATGCCTTCTAAGGCCAGAAGAAGACATTGGATCTCTAGGAACTGAAGGTGCAGGTGGTTGTGAGCCGAAACACTAAGTAGGCTGAGGCAGAAGGATTGCTACAAGTTTGAGACCAGGCTGGGCTACATAATGAGTATTAAGCCACTCAGGCTACATAGCAAGACCCTGTCCCCACAACTCCCATCCCCCCAAAAAATATTCTTATGATGATGATGATGATGTAAAAATAAAAAATGTGCCAGGTGGCAGTGGCACACGCCTTTAATCCCAGCACTCGAGAGGCAGAGCCAAGCCGATCTCTGTGAGTTCGAGGACAGCCTGGATTACAGAGCAAGATCCAGGACAGGCACCAAAACTACACAGAGAAACCCTGTCTCGAAAAACCAAAAAACAAACAAACAAACAAAAAACCGATCAAATAACTCCTTTCTTTTCGGTGTTACTCTAAGCAAATATCTGGTCTGCCCATTGTTATTCCACCCCTACCCTTATGACTTCCTTCTAATCTGACCTCTTTTTTTGCCCTTTCCCCTACAAAAAAGGCTCTTTTTACATTTCAAGCCTGTGAGTCACTTCCCCTCTTTCAAGTTGTGCAGTTTTCCTTCTGTTTTTATTTTCCGGTGAAAGACAGGTCCCAGGGTCTCAAACAGACTATCCTAACCCACAAAGCCTGCAACACACCAAATTTGTGCCTCATTCTACTTCACTTTCACCAGTGTGAGAACTTGGAGCCAGTGGCCAAAACACCATTTAGAAGTGGGAGGATTCACTAAAGTGGAATGAGGCATCCTGGGGATGGGCAGGTAAAGAGTCGGGGAACATTTCAGTCAGGAGTTGACTGGCCTGGGTATGGTGACCTAGTGAGTCCTCATCTCTGTCCATCTTAATCCTTAGACTCCAAGCACATTTCTTTATGGTCCCTGGACCACATTTTGCGGGGGGGGGGGGGGGGGGGGGGGGGGGGGGGGGGGGGGTTGTTTTTGCTGTTGTTGTTTTCGAGACAGGGTTTCTCTGTGTAGTTTTGGTGCCTGTCCTGGATCTCTCTCTGTGGATCAGGCTGGCCTCGAACTCACAGAGATCCACTCGGTTCTGTCTCCCGAGTGCTGAGATTAAAGGCATGCACCACCACCGCCCGGCCCCTGGACCACATCTTAATATAGGATTCCTTTGTGCCATTCTGTCTTTTTCAGTGGGAATTCTAAGAGCTTGGACAGATATCATCGCACACCCTCCTACCCCAGCAGGACCTCCTCACTGCTGCCTTTGGAATCTATAACTCAGAAGCCTTGCTTTGAGACTATACTTTGTTTGCCATTTTTTTTTATACAAAAGTTTGTTTGTGTGTCTTAAGATTTACTTTCTTTGTTTTATTGAGATAACTCTGGCTGGCCTGGAACTCCCTATGTAGACCAGGCTGAACTCAAACTCAGAGATCTTCTTATCTCTGCCTCCCCCAAGTGTTGGGATTAAAGGCATGAACTACCATGCCTGGCTACATAGTACTCTAATATTCCTTTTTGTTTGAGAGAAAAAAAAATTCATTTCCAGGGCTGGAGAGCCGGCTCATCAGTTAAGCACACCTGCTGCTCTTGCAGAGGATCAGAGTTCGGTCCCTTGCACCCAAGTGATGTGGTTTACAACAAAACCACCTGTAACTCCAGCTCTAGGAGATCCAAAGTTCTCTTCTGGCCTCTTCAGGCATGTGTGCTTTGTACCCACATGCACATACCCACACATTGACATACACATAATTAAAAATAACAATCTTTAAAAGTTCTTCTTAGCCAGGTGAGGTGTCCTGTAATCCCGGCATATAGGAGGTAGAGGCAGGAGCATCAAGAGTTCAAAACCACCCTGTCTCAAAAAAAAAAAAAAAAAAAAAAAAAGATTTTTCCTTTATAATGTCTTGACACATAATAAAGCCCACTGAAGCGAGGGATCAGTAAATACTTGTCAAATTAAATTTTCGTTTGAGTGATGAAATTTTTTTCTAAGAATCATTCTACTGTTTCTCAGATGTGATTTTGTTGTTGTTGTTCTGTCTTGAAACAGTCTTCCTATGTATCCCTGGCTGGTCTTAAACTCACTGTATAGCCCAAGTTGACATTGACCTTGAATCCCGTCTTAACTTTAGGAATGTTGGGATTACTGATATGACTGACGTGAACCACTATGCCTGGCTCTTAGATGCTCTTGTCATCTCCATCATCATCATCATCATCATTGAAGTAGAGCAAACAAATCTATTAAGAAAAAATGAGAAAGAACTCCGGAGAATAGGGGTGGCTTTAAGTTGCTTTTCTTTTTTTTTTTCTTTTGAGACAAAGTCTCACTCTGTAGCCTAGACTGGCCTTACTTAAACTCACCATGGAGTCCAGGCTGACCTCAAACTTGCAGTAATCCTCGTGCTTCAGATTCCTGAGTATTAGGAATAGAGGCATGAGCCAAGCCCAGGAAAAGCCATCTTTACAAAACTGGTTCTCACGGTCTGAAGACCCCTGAGTCACCTCATCAGAGGCTATTTGCCTCCTCCTCCTGATCTACTGAGTCAGGAGTTCCAGAACCTCACAATAGTGGGGATCCTCGGTGGCATGGAATTATCACCACCATTTTTTTTTTTTTTTATAAAGCAACAGTCTCAGGAAAGTCGCCTGATCTGCCATAGTCTAATGACCCAGCAGCAACTTGGCCAAGGCTAGATCCCAGGCAGATGACCTGAGCTAGCTGCTTAATTGATTTTTGTTTTGGTTTCTTCACCTGTAAAAAGGAGATAACAATACTTCCTGGTCTAGATAAAAGTTATTTGGCTGTTCCTTTAATTCGTCTTTTAATTTCTCTGTAGGCTCCTGCTTTCTTTTCTTTTCTTTTCTTTTCTTTTTTTTTTTTTTTAAGGCAGCATCTCACTGTGTAGCCTAGGCTACTCTCAGATTCATTGTATAGTTTAAGTTAGCCCTCAACTGCTGATCCTCCACTCCACCTCCAGAATGCTGGGATTAGAGGTGTGTGATCAGGATTACAGTTGCGTGACCGTGTGTGCTAAACTCTGGTGTAATAGGTAAAGATAAGGGACTGGCGAGGTGGCTTACTATGCCAGAAGGAGGTCCTGCATTGGGATCACATCACCTACATAAAAAGCCAGGTATGGCTGCCCAGCATTGGGAGGAGAAGGGCAAGATAGAAGAACCACTGGGGCTTGCTGGGCTCCAGCCTAGCTCCAGGTTTAGTGAGAGATCC